CAGCTCAAAGAACCTCACAATCTCACTCAAAATCTCAGGTGTCGCGGAAACGATACTGCCCCATTCAGTCTTCAGCTTTGACAGTTGGCTCTTTCTGGCAGACAGATCTCTGGCAAAGACCTTGGAGCCCTGGTTCCACTCAATCGCTTCTTGAATACGAGCTGTATTGAAGTTGCGTAAGTGCCGCCGCATGCATTTGGAGATCTATCTATTCAGTTACCTGTATGCTGTCAAATCTGCAATTGCATGAGATTAAGAGTGTGATCGGAGAGTTTTTGTGTTCTTCTGCGACGGGCGTAACAGAACTTAGCTCAGATCGCATGGACAGTTTCCACAAGCTGGATGACTCGAAAACAGCACGTAGTAAACGCGATTCAGAAGGAAAATCGGTCTGTAGTTCTTCAAGAAAGCATAGTCTCCTTTCTTGAAGAACAAGACCACCGCACTTCTGCTCCACACCTTCGGAGTAGTGCATCATGGAGGACGCAATTGAAGACCTTCTGAAGGACTTTAAGTATCGGTTTTCCACTTGCTTTCAGAAGCTTCGCTGTTATGTCATCCTCAACTGGGGACTTGCTCTGTTTTTAAGGTGCAGGAGAGCCATTCTAATCTCGCTCAGACCAACGTCTCGGATATTATCGGAATAGTGTCGGATAAGACTTGCTCTTGGATCGTTACTTACACTTGCTGTGGCTCCAAAGATGACGTATACAGCAGCTCAAAGAACCTCACAATCTCACTCAAAATCTCAGGTGTCGCGGAAACGATACTGCCCCATTCAGTCTTCAGCTTTGACAGTTGGCTCTTTCTGGCAGACAGATCTCTGGCAAAGAACTTGGAGCCCTGGTTCCACTCAATCGCTTCTTGAATACGAGCTGTATTGAAGTTGCGTAAGTGCCGCCGCATGCATTTGGAGATCTATCTGTTCAGTTACCTGTATGCTGTCAAATCTGCAAAGATTGCTGCAGTTACCATGAGATTACGAGTGTGATCGGAGAGTTTTTGGGTTCTTCTGCGACGGGCCTAACAGAACTTAGCTCAGATCGCATGGACAGTTTCCACAAGCTGGATGACTCGAAAACAGCACGTAGTAAACGCGATTCAGAAGGAAAATCGGTCTGTAGTTCTTCAAGAAAGCATAGTCTCCTTTCTTGAAGAACAAGACCACCGCACTTCTGCTCCACACCTTCGGAGTAGTGCATCATGGAGGACGCAATTGAAGAGCTTCTGAAGGACTTTAAGTATTGGTCTTCCACATGCTTTCAGAAGCTCCGCTGTTATGTCATCCTCAACTGGGGACTTGCTGTTTTTAAGGTGCTGGAGAACCATTCTAATCTCGCTCAGATCGACGTCTCGGATATTATCGGAATAGTGTCGGATAAGACTTGCTCTTGCATCGTTACTTACACTTGCTGTGGCTCCAAAGATGACGTATACAGCTGCTCAAAGAACCTCACAATCTCACTCAAAATCTCAGGTGTCCCGGAAACGATACTGCCCCATTCAGTCTTCAGCTTTGACAGTTGGCTCTTTCTGGCAGACAGATCTCTGGCAAAGACCTTGGAGCCCTGGTTCCACTCAATCGCTTCTTGAATACGAGCTGTATTGAAGTTGCGTAAGTGGCGCCGCATGCATTTGGAGATCTATCTATTCAGTTACCTGTATGCTGTCAAATCTGCAATTGCATGAGATTAAGAGTGTGATCGGAGAGTTTTTGTGTTCTTCTGCGACGGGCGTAACAGAACTTAGCTCAGATCGCATGGACAGTTTCCACAAGCTGGTCAATCCATCGTAAACAAATCGAGCAGTGTACACTCAGGATACTGAAAGTTTGTTAGACACAGTCAGCTAAGGTTTTTTTTTGGCAGACAAATTGAGACGTCTAGTGCTGGGAGCACTAGACGTCTCGCAGCTTTGAATCTGTTTCTTATCGTCGGTCTAGTTATGTTAACTCCTAGTTACAAGGTTATATTATCGTTATCTATTAGAAGAAAAAAGATCGTTGTCTTTCGTCGATTGTCGTTGTTACTACTATATAATTTTTGCAAATCAGTAGGTTTTCCAAGCTAATAAAAATAATATAAAATGAAATCTTTTTGTAAGAAATGAGGTGGATGGTTATTTTTATGCCACTACTACACGTCAGTACTTATATTATATGGTGACTATTTGATGAAATAATTAAGGAAACCAAAGCGGGACAATGTGATTTGTGTAACGAAATTAACTTCTCCTGGAGCTTATTATTGTTTCAATTTGAATCCACATTGAGAAGGAATCTGCCGTAGTATCGTCCTCATTCTAGTGCTAACTTAGTATGTTTCCTCGAATGCAAGAATGTTACTAAACTTCGAGATGAAACATTTTTTCTATTTACCTTCCTAGGTTCTCTATTGAGTTATCAAACTTCTTTTGAAACTTAACTCTTATAAACAATCTCATTTTATTTTGGCTTTAACACGACTTTAGAATAACTTTTGTTTACCAGTTTAAAAAAATATAAATTGTACTTCTTGTTGATTTTGATCTCGGCAATTTCCGAATATCGTCAGCAAGGACATTGAGTGCGACAACCGTAAACACGGAGACTTCGTACTAGCTCTACTCGTACATAGCATCGTCCTATGTTTACTTTGTACATTACAATTCCTCTGCAGTAATATTAAAAGTACATTTAAATGTTCTTCCAATGATACTTAGACCAATAATTTGTGTTATATACACAAACTTCTAAGTCACGCGATCGTAAAATAGACGCTATATTGTCCTTATATAATACAATGTTATGATAGTAGTGTTAAATCTCAGAAGCTATTAAACAATAAAACTCACATCCGAAGTCACATTTCGTGAAGTTGAGGTGATCGAAAATATGATACCTAACTCGGTCTCCCATTGCTGTAAGTTCTGTGTGGTTAATATATTTGCTCTAATGCTTTCTCTACTCTTATAAGTCATATATATATATAAAGATATTTCGATCGTAATAAGACATTAGTTTTTTTGTAGACAAAAAACTACAAAACAATAAATGTAAAGTATTATGAAAAAATAAAATTGCGGTTGCCAAACCCGTTGAGGCAGTCTATGGGTTAGGCCATGTTCAATCGTAGACTTTGCTAGATTGTTACGGTATTTGTATTTATTTGTAGTAGTGAGGGTAGTTAACACGCACACAGTCCACCTGATAGTAAGTGCCATGCTGTGGCTAATTAACACCTACATATCATACATTCACGATTAACGGCTGATCCTCATTTGCCGTTCACAGTTAGTTCTCAGTCCGATCTCGGTCTGATTTATTATATTATTGAGATGGGATTCGAGCGAAACTTGACTGTTACGGATATTATGAATGCACACACATATTTTTTACTTGACAATATTTTATCAGACCGAGATCGGACCGAGAAGGAACTGTGAACGCCATTATAATGAGGATCGGCCCTTAAGAATCACAATGCAAACACGTCGTGACCCCAGTACACTAAGAAGAAACGCCTCGTTACCAGTAAAAGTGTCTCCGTATCTTGTCACTCACTATACAAAATACAGTTGATATTTCACGACAGTGTTCTGTCACAGAATAAATAATATGGTTCAGCCCCAGTCAAGCTGACCGATTTGTGCCGTAACTATAAAACAGCTGCAGCGAAATAGGTTTTATCTATAATTTAAACGGTTAATAAAATTTTATTTTAGACAGTCGATAGCGCAGTGGCACGTGTTCTTTTTCAATATCCAAGTCTTTCTTTTCATCATCAAGCTATACTTCTTACAAGTTTACTACTTACAGTAATTGTTATTGCCTACGAATAAATCTTTCTTGGTCTGACTTTTTCTCATGCAATTTATGTATGTAAAACGATAAAAGAAAAGAACATTAGCTCGTCACCATTTATAATTATTTCATTATACTGATTCCATCAACAAATTCAAAAGTAATTATAAAGACCTCAAAGATTCTTACCGGCTACGTTCATAAGTTGTAAGTATTTGAACAGGTTGTATTTTCATAAGAGCCTAAGAGAGACATTTATCGACGCGGAATCGGCTTAAGCCGAGTGATTATCACCACACTACTCGACTGAAGACTGAGTAGACTGTTGCGACGGCTATTCCACAAACGATCGGCAGTCGACTCCTTCGAAAGGCCGTCGCGACGGCTGTTCACTTACATTCAGCAGTTGATTCCCCAGAACGGCCGTCGAATCGGCTCCTCTTTTCGTTCCGCAGTAAACTCCTCCAAACGATCATCACGACGGCTGTTCACATTTGGTCGGCAGTCGACTCATCGTTCAACAGTCGACTGTTTTCCAATTCCGTTCGACCGTAGTCTGCGCCGTTCAGCTGCCGTCGGAGATAAAATCGTGCGAGCGGACCATTAAAACGTCGTTCGGCTGTGCTCCGGCGCCGTTCGGCTGCGGTCTCGACGTGGGCGTACGGTTACTTTCAGCGCCGTACGGATGCGTTCAGCTAATCGGCAAACCTCTCGTTTTGCTGTCAACCGACGTCGCGTCACGTCCTCCGAGTATTCGAGAGAGTCGATGAGAATGCTATTAGCAACACCCGTATTTTGTATACATAAAGGATTTTCTGACCGGCTGAAGCTGAATCCGCGTGGAAATGTGGGGACTCCCTAAGCCTAAATTGAAATTATTTCCTTTAATTTGACTATTATTTAGAGATACACTTTAAGACTTATAAAATTTATCCGCCATATAATGGCAGCGTAAGAAGAGAATCTACTACCTATTATCATCCCGTGGGTTTCATAAGAGGCGACGTAGTGTAATGATATAGGGATGGGCAGCGGTACCTTCCTGATACACAAAATAATAAAAACCTGTGTTTACTGACTCGCCTGCGAAGCGTGGTAACTTTTGCAATGAGGCAAAAGTTACCACGGGTCCATGTTCTGCAGTGGACCTTTTAGGCTGTATTATTCATTCAGAATTATTATGTAAACCCATAAAACAATATCTGTAAATTGTGTTTAGGTGCCTAGACGAGGACGAACGTCAACACTCTGCAACCCTCTCTCTCCGTCGGCGTCAGTTCATCGAGCGATGTCAAGAGAACCGCGGCCCCCGGCACCGCGATCAAATCCCTGAGGTTTCAGTCAAAAGAACCAGGGAGGAATTGGCGAAGCATGCGTCGCAGGCAACGCTTTTGACTCGTCGGCTCAACGTGGAGTCGGGCTGGTCGAAGGTCGAGGAGGTGCGGAAGAAGTTCGAGAGTTCGACTGATTCGACGTCCTTTTCTAGGTCGTTTGAATCGCCGCCACGGTGAGAAAAACTGGATTATTTGTTTGTTACGTAAACGTAGTATTTAAATAAACTTAATGAAATTTCATGACCATATACTTAGACTTTCTGTCGTCATTATATCCTTGTTAACTATTTAATCCATAACTTGTTTTATTCTTTTTTATGTAATGTAACTATATCATCGTTCAATCTACTTTTCTAGACGCCGCCTAGCTGATTCCCTTTTCGCCAGTTTCAAATTACCGCGAAAGAAGGATAACATGGCTGCTCCACGATCCCTCGCCCCGCAGCCCCAGCAGAAGCGCAAATCCGCCGTGGAACTGCTTGCTGAGACCAAAGCCTTCTATGTCAAGTCTGAAACAGTGCTAGATAGGAAGCAGGAGTTACCACTGAGGGTAAGATATAAGGCATTACGTTATGTTTTAGAGCTATATCATTTTTTATTATGTCAGTAGTCCAGTAGTAAATTATGTTCCGTACACACTCCCCTCATACAATGGTCCTTTCCTCCTCTCTTTCTTTTTCCTTCTCAATCACTTCACATCTCTCCCTGATTCCTGATCCCATTTCTTTATGCCATAATTCTCAAAATAACAGTGCTTTTTAAAGAACACGAAAGTATAAGCTATTATTTTATTTAAATACTCTCTCCTTACGAAACTTACCAGACTACTTACTTATTGCAAATCATTTTAACATTTTATGTTAAGTCAATGACATTGCATGTTTCAATCAATGCTACTTGTAAGTTGCAAGGTACGTGAAAGTAATCGTACTCAGGCGTTATTGGTTTCGACTTTCATTCAATGTTATTTAAGATAGTACCATTATGTGGGTAGATTATCAAATAGAAAACCTAACAAGTTAAATGTCTTACGATGATTTGTAAATTTCCAGGTAAGCAGCGGCCTGAGCCAGGCGATTGCGTCCGGCGGTTGCCACTTGATCAGTTCGGGGACCATCAACAACGATACCTGTTGCAACCCATGTTAGTAACAATACAATGTGCATCTTCATTAATCACCATCTTTAAATATAAGTTACTTACCAGCAGTTGGGATGGTGGTCTAGCCCTGCCTTAGAATTGTAAAGAAAAAATCGATGATGGGCGCAATGGTTATCATAACTTTATATTACATACGTGGTAGAGTCATGCTGCAGCTATAATAATTATATAGTTGTACCACGAATGGGTCGGCTCGACCGGGGAAGGAGCACGCTCTCACGGAATGCCAGCGTCAAATAGCAGCTTGATGTTGCTGTGTTTCGTATGGTGAGCTTTGGGAACCGGAGACCCTTTTTACTGGAAAAGAGGCATTCCATCTTAGTCCTCAAGGCTGACAACGCATCTTCATTTTGATACGCAAACGAGGATAGATGTAGATTTTTATGGGCCACAGCAACCATTTACCATCAGGTGAAATGTGTGCTCGCTTGTGACCCTTATCCTATAAACTTAACTATATTTTAAAGTTACAGCTTATATCGTCACACCGTTGGGCACAGCCCTCCTCTCACTTCTGAGAGGGGTATAGGGCAAGGAAATGTACGCCGCGCTGCCCCAATGCGCGTTGGCGAATTTCAAATGTCTTGCAGGTTTCCTCACGATGTTTTCTACACCGCCGAGCACATGGTAAATCAGCACTTAAAATTACAACTTAAAAATTTCATTGGTGCTGGTGGGGATTGAACCCGGGTGACTTGCGTACTGTGAAACTTACAGGGAACGCTTAGCCCCTGAGTTACCACAGCTTTTGACTGTCTATCATAGCAACGATTCAACGCTTGTGTCTTCATTCCTCTGAGGCTGTTCAGAGTTCTCTGAATTCTCTCTCAGTTCTCTATTTAAACGTTTATAAAACATAAATGATAAAACAATTCTAATAATTCGAATAAGGCTGAGAAACGGGTACACAGTGTACCTGATGTTAAGTGGATGCTGTGGCCCATATCTACATTTATCCTCGTTTATCAAAATACATATGCGTTACCACCCGTGAGGACTCAGATGGAACGTAGTTTCCAGTAAAAAGGCTCTTTGGTACTCTACACTCACCACACGAAACAACAGAATTAAGTTGCTATTTAAATAGTATTCTGTGAGAGCGGGGTCTTTTCCGGGTCGAGCAGACCCACTAGTGCTATAATGTAACTGTAGCGTGGCTCTATCACTTATATACAATATAACGTAATTAACGCACACCCTCAGACACCCCAATTAGTATATTATGTTATAATCATAATACAAACACTGAATTTTTAGTTAAACATTTTTATGCACTGATTATTTATCAAATTAGTTATACTAATTCCGGCAGAATGTTGTGGTCACAATACAAATCCACGAACGCAAAGACTTTACCGTGCTTGAAATAAAGTTCATTTTTCTTTATTTTTATTGAATGACAGAATTAGTAATAATACAAATAAAACTTCACTCTTAAAAGTCTTATTGCCTTAAGTTACGGACCATTTCAGTTTGTTTTTACTGTACAGATTTAGTGTGACCGTAATTTACGTAGTTTTAATTATTTTTGGGATAAAAAATTACCTATATTAAAAATGATAGGAAACGATTCAGTAAACGATTCTGAACAAACTACTTTCTCAAAGTGCGTTAATTATGTTACATGTTATATATACATATAGAACGCATATAGAAGATAATTTGTTATATCATTTATAAGCATATTTTACGTACACATACGTATGATGATGGATTGGGATGAATTACGACATTAAACAATTCATCCTATTAATTCTTCTCCTTTTTCTTCATATACGGCGAATTTGCCATACCCGCTATGTTTTTTACTTTATAGAATAGGTTGACAAACGAGCACACAGTCCACCTGATGGTAAGTAGATGCTGCGGCCCATAAATATTAACATCTATCCTCGATTACGAATCAAAATGCACATGCATTGTCACCCGTGAGGACTAAGATGGAATGCCTCGTTTCCAGCGAAAAGGGTCTCGGCTCTCGGCTCCTGGTTCTCTACACTCACCATATGAAACAAAGCAGTATTAAGCTGCTGGCTATACGTTCGTTTTGTATTAAATATTAATTATAGCCTATCAAAAGATCGCTGTCATAGTTTATCTCATTGGGGCAATTTGCCGTAGTTGCCACGCTGGGTAGACGGGTTCAAGAAGATGCTGCTACTCGTCTATTGTTTAATTTCCGTCTGTCGCGTCTTAGGACCCCTACGAGATTATATGCGGTGCAGGATTGGTTCAGGATTTACGAAAATCTACTACTTAAGCCTATAAAAAGTACACAGTTAGAACATAAACCTTCATAGGTTGCCTGATATTGCCTGGCATTTTGCCATAGTTACCACTGTTGGCAGGTAGATTGGCAACCGCAATTTTTTTAAATTGTTATCAGGAAAATGCAGTTGCTCATTACATTTCAGTTTCCCTGTGTCGCCTTTTATGACACCCACGGGACAATATGGGGCTGTGGATATTCTAACACCGCCACTGCACGGTTTAAAAATATATTATTAAATATTAACTGACTGTTATTGTTGGTTACAGACGCGACAACCAGAAGCGCTGGAGCTGGGCGACGGTCTGCTGGTGGGGGCGAGGGACTGCAGAGCACTCTGCGTAGATTGCTCGAACATTCCGACAGTAGGGAGAACATTTACACGCCCGGATACGCAATTTGTACGTTAATTTCGCAGACTTTAAAGTGTACTTTAGTCCTTGGAGACAGAAACGTATCATCAGAACGTGACTTAAAGCAAAAGGCGCTGGGTGCTCTTCTTACTGATGCTACAAAAGTGTACTGATGTTTCACTGTCTTTTTCCGAGTTTATCGCCAAGATTGTCCTCCAGACCGCATTTCAGTGACGACGCAAAAGAAACTAGCCATCTTTACAGGATAAGATTATATTGTATGAGCGTGTGCGAGCAAAGACACACCCTATAATCCCTCACTATCATAGTCTAATGAGACGGCAATCCAAGGTCAATCAACTCCAAGGTCCAACGCCTTAACGTGCTTTCCGAGGCACTGGGGTGAAACATCGCTGATTTCCAGGCTAGTACTGAGAATGTTCTGATAGCCAAATCCAAAAACTGATTTTTGGCCCGATACGAAAACATCTTGGGTATCTATTAATATTTTTTTATAGAAGAGGGGGCCAAACGAGCATACGGTTTACCTGACGGTAAGTGATTACCGCCGCCCACGAGCAACGGCAACACCAGGGGAATCGCAGATGCATTGCCGGCTCTTAAAAAGAAATAGGCTCTTTTCTTAAAGGTCCATATAATATATATACATACAATAAAACCCGAAAGCAGTTTAATTCAATAATTTGTGTTTTCCTCAATATTTTTCCTTAAATATGATATTTACTTACTAATTGAACATTCCTCTACCCTCCAGAAACCTCTACGTCGTCATGTATCATTCAGCTTGCTATAGGACAACGGTACAACGGTGTTTTGAATGGTGGTAGTACATAATGCTTACCATGATAGGGTCCTATTCAATTACTGTCCGAACAAGTAGAAGCAAACTAAGAAAGGGAATTTTATTTAATTTAACCTCTCAAACTGCAAGCGTCTAAATTTGACCGCTTCGATATTCCTTCATAATTCAAGAGGTCAAATGCACCCACCCACTGCATTTTAACCCGTAAAAACTTATATATAGAGACTACTTTTCTATAAAGAAGTTTGGCATTATATAATCAATATGAAATTTTCTATCCTCTAGTGCAATAATAAAACTGTTATCCTATGGATATTTATTTATAATCTACGTTCATTTCGCACGCCATTTTCGCGTGATTGTGTTAATTTTTGGATTTTTCTAGTGTTTTATTAGTATTTTAGTATAGTTTTTTATTATAAAATTGTATTTAAAGTTTTGTGTGAATATAATTTATCTTTTTACGTAAATAATTTCCAGTAATTTATATTGAAATAATTGTGATTTTCGCTTGGTATATTTTTTTTTTGTTATCAAAATACAATAAAATCTTTTTGTAATGAAGTAAAACCTGACTTTTGTTTAGACCACAGGATAGAGAATTTTGTACAGATGTTATAAAGCCAAGCTTCTTCATAGATTAATCTCTGAATATAAGTTTTAATGGTTTTAAGTGCGGACGCATGCGACCGCTCGGGATTTGCCGAGCGCATGCGACTGCATGGGATTTTTATGGAGATTGAAGGGTTAAAACAACAAACAAGTCAGTAAGCTTGGCCCTTTGACTGTGAATCTGCCTTATGGTTTTGGTAGATAATCGGTATTAGCAAGGTTCTTCTGAGTCTCAGCCACCACCCACCATTACAAACGATATTCCATTCATCAAATTAATTTGTTAGGTAAATGTGGGGTTTAATGTTTCTTTCTGAATAAAAAGGAGTGTTATATAATTTAAAAATAAAAATAAAATGTATTGAAAAAAAAAAGAAATTTCACATTGTTTTGTGTGTATACATACTCTAAAAACGGATACAGTTTTATTTAAAATGCACCCTCAGTCCCAGCTAGTGGCATCTGGTTAGCCAAAAACTATCAGTCTTCATTTACGACATTTTTTGACGTAAGTACATAATATTACTAAACATTTGGTATAATAAATTTCAGCGCACAAAATATACGCTGACAGCCGTCGTCTGAAGGACTCATGTCCGGAACGGGAACCGATGCCCCGTTCCCAGTACACGTCCGGAACATTTTCCGGCACCTCGTCATCCGGGACATCGGGCTCCAAAGCGCACAAGTCCGATCCGGACCGGGACAAAAATAGGCCCATGAGCTTCGGCGATGCGAGAGTCTTCTTTCCGGAGTCATTCGTCATACCGAGGCAGAGGCCTAGTGAAGTTATTATTAAGAATGCCTATTCTATACGTAAGCTATATTTTTTAAATATCTTTATAAATATTTGTTAAAGAATTTAGTCACGTTTAAACTTAGCAAACACTTTGTCAAATTAATTGAGTCTGTAATGTAGAAGGTAAAGTTGAGAGTATTAAATCGACAAATGAGCTATCTGTCCATCTGATGGTAAGCGACCCATCAACACCAGAAACCATCTTCATACTAAGAAGGCAGGTAAGCAAGACAGATGTTGTTTGGCGGCAGAAACAAGGGAAGAAGGTAGTGCCAACGAAGACTGAGTCACTGGCAAAAAAGAAGCCCTACCACTCTGGTGTAGTGCTTGTTCACAGACTAAAGTATAATATCGCATAATTAGTATTATATCGCATTCATTCATAAACACTGTAGTTCTCTTTGTCGCTGAACACAGCCTGAACCGAACTTTCGGCCGAATATTCGTATTCGATGAAATCCATATTCGGCCCATCTCTATAGTATGGTCTAGACTCAAATTTCAAACATGGTGGAGTTAGATTTTGCGCGCCCACCTGAGATTCAACTCAACTCGGGTGCTGCAACAGCGCCCTTACAGCCTATTAAAGTTCACTGTTGAACATAGGCCTCCCTATAAGTTGCCTCATAGGAAGGAAAGTTGCCTCCTATACTTGTCACAGTTGCGACGATTCACAGGTCTAGTGGTAACCGCATTTTTAGGGTTCCGTAGTCAACTAGGAACCCTTATAGTTTCGCCATGTCTGTCTGTCCGTCTGTCCGTCCTCGTTTAATCTCTGTGACCGTTAGCACTAGAAAGCTGAAATTTGGTACACGTATGTGTATCAATCACGCCGACAAAGTGGTAAAATAAAAATTGGAAAAAATGTTTTATTAGGGTAGCCCGCCTATATGTAAAGAGCGAAGTGATTTTTTTTTAATTTCAACCCTAACGTGTGATATATTGTTGGGAAGGTATTTAAAAATGAATAGGGGTTTACTAAAATCATTTTTGATAATGTCAATAATTTCGGAAATAATCGCTCCAAAAGTAAAAAACAATGTGTCCCCCCCCCACTCTAACTTTTGAACCATAAGTTTAGAAAATATGAAAAAAATCTGAAAAGTAGAACTTTATAAGGACTTTCTAGGAAAATCATTTTGAACTTGGATGGAAACAACAGTGAGTACCCACTACCGGGAGCAGTTGCAGGAGCGCGGAGCGCTGCTGGAGCGCGAACATAATGGATACCCACCTTTAAACTCATAACTGGGAACACTTATTGTGACGGACGGGAAACTACGGAACCCTACACTGAGCGTGGCCCGACACGCTCTTGGCCGGTTTTTTTATTTTTATTCGTTATTAAGGAGACGCTACTGCCAATCTCCAGATTTGTTTCCCTCTGTCGCCTCTTACGACACCCACGGGATGATATGGGGTAGAGGATATTCTTACACCGTCACTGCTCGGTAAAGCCTAAAAAATTTAAATTTTGCATTACCACGAAAGTTGTAAGGAAAACATTGAGACAATACCTTTATGTCTAACAAATAAAAATATTTTTATTACATGTGCATTTAATTAATTTGAAATGATAATTTACTTACTCACTCAGAAATGAATGCAGGCTTGTGCTAAACACCAGCATTACTACTATTGAAATATTTATTTACTTATTTATTCTATAATGCATTGCCCATTACTGAAGAATACAAATATTATTGCCATTAGGCATTCTCTATCAGTCAACCGATAGTGTCGTAAAAATTTGGCTTTCGTGTAGCAAATAGCGATATAGAGAAAATATATAAACAAAAATTATATTTGATTACAACTACACAATCTAATGTTGATATTAAATTGCATATAAATGTATATGTCGCAGCGCCTCTGTGGGTAGTCGGAATTATTGTAAACAGCACGTGTACCGCACACCTGCAGTGGCGCTCGGGTAGCTACTTGTCTCGATTGTATAAAACGGACGGAGCGGCCGCCGATAAGGCAGTCATGGCTCTGGCATGGCACGATGCACTTGTTTTATCCCGCTACTAGCTCATCCTAGACTATTCGGATAATAAATTCGTGGAAACGAATTAATTATTATTATCAGCTATTAAATTAGTCTCAGTACAGTTTGTAGTTGATTACCTGTGATCCCTGTATTTTGTTATTGTAAATTAATTCTATTTAACTACCTTCCTACATATATGCATAAATACTCTTAAATTATTGTCTATTTTGCTTATAAACAAAAACAACTTTATTGCTTTATTAATTAGAGTTGTGATTGTGTTGTCCTCAGCGAGTCCCCAGTCGAGCCCCGAGCAGATGGAGCTACCTGAGCCGGTGCTGAGCGGGCCGGGCTCCCCGGCGGACCAGCTGCCCACCATCAGCCCGCCGGCACAGTACGCGCACTCTGCTCCCAGACATACCAGGTAACTAGACATGAACTCATAGAACCTAGCCTTATCCAATGAACCAGGCTCAGATGTCTATAAGATTGCTGTTCTTAATGTAATTGATTATCTGATTGAGTGATGGTATTGCATCAACTAAGAAAGACAACTAAGAAGACAACTTGTAGAAAATTGTGTCTTCTGACAAATAGCAGAATTACGATCTTAAATAGGCAGGCTAAAATATTCTGATTGATTCCGAGGGGATCAATCAGAATATTTTAGCACAGAAGAGTTGAAGAGTTAACACAGAAACTGTCGTTGTAGCATAGACAAGTTATTGGCTGATTCGTTACCGACTAAACAAAACAATGTCTTGGATTAAAAGAGGCGCCACAATTTTCTAACTTAGTATACCCCATACTCCACCAGTCTGAATCAGAAGTGTCCAGCAGACATTTCTATATATATATATATATATATATATATATATATATATATATATATATAAATATTATATGGTAACTTGTTTTGTAAGTTTGGATGTTGTAAAGTGCTCGAAACTTTGGGAATGTAAAATATGTTGATACACGATGAAATCCGAAAAAACGAGTTTTATTTAAATGTGTAGTGTTCGCGTAAATATAAGAAATCGACATTTCTATATGTATTCATATGTGTGTTAAATATTAAGGTTATTACTAAAAATCTGCTGAGCTTTCTTTAAACAAATAATGTATATTTCCGTAACTAAATCTAGAAATGAACGGTCTGTTGCCCAGCTGTGGGACTTATATAGGTTCTAATTTCACTTTATATTATATTTTATCAATTGTCAGATCGAATTCGCACTCGCAGCCGAGCATGCGCGAGGAAGACGGTTGCACCAATATCAATAGTCATAAGTCGCTGCCCGACTTGCATGTGCAAGCGCATTGCTATCCAGAACCGTAAGTTACTTTTAATGTTTCTAGTTGACTTTAAATTTTATTGTATTCTTTAGACAGTCAGTTGCGCGTTGTAAGTTAACTAGTCACTTTAAAATTTGTGGGAGTCTGATCAAAAAAAAAATGATTTTGACATAAATTTTAAAAGGATAGCGGTATAACTGACAACCCAAATGTGGGACGTAGATAAGCTTTAATAATATGTGAGAACTGTGTCTTTACATTTACTGGAAAGTGAATCAAACTAACACATCACGTCTTTCATTTCCAACAGTGAATAAATAATATCCTCTTTAAATTTATGATAAATGCTTATCACATCATAGTGGGTAAAAATCATAGAATACTATATAATACACAATAGAATGGCTGTCAACCTTATTTTGTACGGGGGTCGGCGTCGCCGGGAGCACACATACAAGCAATTACGTCATATTATCACTACTACAAAGCCAATTCGCTGTGTTGACAGACTGAGTAAATTTACACATTTTAGACTTTTGATTAATGTTCAAAATCATCATAAAAAAAATCGTTTAAAATTTAATACATATTTGTCTGTAAATAGTGTGCAATTTGGCATTTTCTAAATAATTTGTATGCAAAATTCGGAAACGATTGTAACCTTAAAACACATCTCGTGTTGACATTTATACGTGTGGTTTGACATGTTAGTGGCTACACGGGCTCCGCCAACTCCCCCGTTCTAAGTATGTATTATAGTATTCTATGGTAAAAATTGTCTCAGAGTAGAGTATCCATGCATATAGTTATGAGGCAAGTGGCAACTATGAGCAAGTTGTATACGAGCGAAGTCGGTGGAGTGCTGTGTCCGGCTCATGTGGGTGGGCTAATGTAGTGGTGTGTCGGCAGCAGCGCGGCGGGCACGGAGACTCCGGGCCGAGCGTCGCGCCGGCGCCGCCACTCCGGCCACCACCGCACCGCCTCGTGCTCATCCAAAGGCACCAGGTACGTACTTAATCTTTATATTGCTGTTACTGGGTGCGTTTGGCAGCCATTTTGCTTACAAGCGCTTGCTAGCGCGAAACTAAACAGTTTTCGGCCAGGACACGTTTGCTAACTTCAGTAGCGCTGACACAATCCGCCATATTGCTTATTTAATTAGTTTGTTTCGAAGTAGAGTTTATAAGTTGTTTTGTGCAATATTAGTTTTAAGTAATATAATGACATGAATAAACATATACTTACATATTATTTAATATTCATGATTGATAAGTTTTTAATATGATTATAATATTACATAATTTAAATTAGGTTAGGTTCCCCGGTTAAAGCTAACTTCGTGTCATAGAGGAAAATGGCTACTTACGATTTGACAGCGCTTACCGCTTACGATCGCCATTTTGCTTACAAGCGCTTGCTAGCGCTTTTTTCTGAAAAACGCAGCCATTGATACTTTCGTGTTTACACCATGGTTTAATGTATATACGAGAGCCATGCTGCAACTGTATTTTGTTTGTAGCACGAATGGGTCAGCTCGACCGGGGTAGGACCACGCTCTCACGGAATAACAGCGTAAAATAGCAGCTTAATACTGCTGTTTCGTATGATGAGAGCGTAGAGAGAACCGAAGACCCTTTTTACTGGAAACCAGGCATTCCATCTTATTCCTTTGGGATGACAACGCATCTGCGTTTTGGCACTAAGCGAGGGTAGATGTAGATGTTTCTGATCCTCTGATCTGACTTACAATCGGGCAGATTGTGTGCAAGTTTGTCACCCATATTCTATAAAAAATTATCGTCCCTTCCATCTGTTATTTTTATATATTGTTAAATATTATAAATAGGAAATACATTCCATCTTATTAACAAGTGGTAAAATTAAAAATTTTGTATAACCGACTTCAATATACATAAAATGAGAACATCATCAATGTAGTCGAAATCGATTAAATACGCATTATTAAGGATAACTCAAAAACTACTGGTCAGTTTTTAATCAAATTTATATGGGTTCACATGAGAAGCACCAGCTTTCAAATAAAAAAAAATAATCATCAAAATCGATATTTAAAAAAAATTGAGGTAACACACATAAAAAATTGGTTTAAAACTGTTTTGTAGAATAAAAATGACAAAGGACATCTACATGTACCCTCGATTAGGAAGTAATATACAGAATACGTTGTCACCACTTAGAAGTAAGATGGAATGTCTTTCACAGCTTAAGAACAGTATTTTTCCCGAAACAAGACGTTCACACTTTACATTTTAGTTTTCATATTTGCCACAAGACTTGAAGCACATTTTAGCCTTCACTAGACGCTAAATATGAACTACTTTTTGTAATAAGACTGATTATGTTTAAGGTTAAACTATTGCTAAAGGTTTTCGGGTGTATGGCGACCCTCCACTAAATGAAGTGACAAAAATTCGATGGATGCAGATCGCTCAGTTTAAGATGGGCATGGAGTGCTTTGAGGCATTTCTTGTAGGAGGTTTATGTTCAACAATAAACTAGTAAAGAGGTATAAAGATGATGATAGCTGCTGCTAAAACTTTGTCCGGAATAAATTAAAAATGTGAATGCTACCTTTATAGCGTTTTAAGTATTGAATAACTTTTTAATTAATTTCAATGAGTAATACATGGAATTTTATTTATTCATAAACCATTTGAATATCAAGCATCTGTAGGTAAAAGGCAACTTTAAATTACGATTTTTAAGACTCTTAACTTTAATCGACAATTGAATATTAATAATAAAAAAATTTAAAGTTGTTACAGGTCGAATCACTCGTCAATGATATCGTCGTGCGATGCTTTCTCCGAGCATCCGTCGCCGGGCGATGACAACTATCAGTCCTATAACAGGTAAATCTAAATTACGCATTACACCTAATTATCTTTTGAATGAATGAATGAATCTATTCTCTCTTCACAATAGGTACTAAGTATTACAAAAGTGCCAGCTAGGTACCTAAGTTGTAAAAGACTGGTGCCTAATGTAGGTATAAAAAACCTGTATTACAGGTAACCAGGGCTCCCCCGCGTATAGAGTAACAGTGAAAAAGAATACAAATCTGAACGGAGATTATAATTAAGTAAACAAAATGAACTGCAGTAAAAAAACTGTAATTACAAATTTCACATCAATAAGTGTGTGTACTATGTATGGAGTAGTTGTGCGTGTGAGCTAGTGCGCGCACGTGCCTGTTGTGTGTGTGTGTGTGTGTGTGTGTGTGTGTGTGTGTGTGTGTGTGTGTGTGTGTGTGTGTGTGTCGTGTGTGTGTGTGTGTGTGTGTGTGTGTGTGTGTGTGTGTGTGTGTGTGTGTGTGTGTGTGTGTGTGTGTGTGTGTGTGTGTGTGTGTGTGTGTGTGTGTGTGTGTGTGTGTGTGTGTGTGTGTGTGTGTGTGTGTGTGTGTGTGTGTGTGTGTGTGTGTGTGTGTGTGTGTGTGTGTGTGTGTGTGTGTGTGTGTGTGTGTGTGTGTGTGTGTGTGTGTGTGTGTGTGTGTGTGTGTGTGTGTGTGTGTGTGTGTGTGTGTGTGTGTGTGTGTGTGTGTGTGTGTGTGTGTGTGTGTGTGTGTGTGTGTGTGTGTGTGTGTGTGTGTGTGTGTGTGTGTGTGTGTGTGTGTGTGTGTGTGTGTGTGTGTGTGTGTGTGTGTGTGTGTGTGTGTGTGTGTGTGTGTGTGTGTGTGTGTGTGTGTGTGTGTGTGTGTGTGTGTGTGTGTGTGTGTGTGTGTGTGTGTGTGTGTGTGTGTGTGTGTGTGTGTGTGTGTGTGTGTGTGTGTGTGTGTGTGTGTGTGTGTGTGTGTGTGTGTGTGTGTGTGTGTGTGTGTGTGTGTGTGTGTGTGTGTGTGTGTGTGTGTGTGTGTGTGTGTGTGTGTGTGTGTGTGTGCGTGCGTGCGCGCGTGCGCGTGCGTGTGTGTGTGAGTGATTGTGTGAGTGATTGTGTGAGTGATTGTGTGAGTGATTGTGTGAGTGATTGTGTGAGTGATTGTGCGCGTACCTGTGGTTGCGTGAGTTAGGATTAACATATAATTGCATTTTAAACCAAAATGAGAAGAAAATATTAATATTTCGACGAGGTATTACTATAAATTATACATGCGAATAAATAGGTTTTCAGTCGCTTCATAGTCTAAAGTTTTCAAATATTTAATTAGAACGGATTTGCAGCTCGATTTAGGTAAGGGATAGAAGTTTAGGATATTGTTCAGCTTATTATATGTACATGTATGATCCTAGGAAACGGAGGGAATTGTGTGAGGTAGCAGAATGGAAGGATTGGGTTCTACATACAGAACCTTTCCTGCGTTTATCTTTTAGGAGCTCCAGGATCGTATTTACCTTAAGAGTGTTTCATTAGAACAGTTTATAAGATGAAAGACTGTCTCACTGTTAGAACGTCCCACTTTATGCAGAGGGCCACTGTAGAAGAGCAGAACGACCTACCCTGACTTTCAGGGTGACCCTTTGAGCTCTTTCTACCTCGATTAGGTATGTTTTAGCAGCAAATATTCCTGCGGGTGTACGCCGCATGGGCCGACCTTTGATGTCGCGGTGGCGTCTTTGACAAGATGCAGAACGTGTCAAGGCGGCGCGACACAAAGGCAACCGTATCTCGGCGAACAGACTATACTTGAAGTCGTTCAGAAGCTCTTTAATTCCGTTCCCCATGGTGGCACTACTCCGTAAGCGTGCCGTAAAAGTGCGGTGGTCTTATTTTTCAAAAAATAAACGATTGACCAAAACTCGTTATGGAGTTTTGGTCAATCCTTTGAAATGCCAAGCTATAGTGGTGGGTAGCTCAAGAATGCTGGCTATTAATCTGACAGACTTACCTCCTATTTACTATGATAATACTACAATTCCATTCAGTAACTCTGTTAGAAATCTTGGCCTTCACATCGACAACACACTGAATTGAAGAACTCTGGTTTCAGATGTAAGTCGTAAAGTCACTGCACCGTTATGCTCTCTGTATCGTTTAAAACATTTTCTTCCAACAAAATCTAAGATCATGCTTGTCCATTCACTTATATTACCCATAATTGATTATGCAGATGTGTGTTACCCAGACCTGTCCCAAGATCTTCTGAACAAGCTGGAACGCCTCCTCAATAACTGTATAAGATTTATCTTTGGGCTTCGTAAGTATGATCATATTTCGCAATACAGATCTAAGCTAAATTGGCTTACAATCCGGTAGAGGCGCAACTCCAGAATATTACTTGTACTTTTTTCCATATTAAATGATCCATCTTCGCCTTCTTATCTTAAGAGTGAATTTCATTATCTTTCCTCATCTCATGATGGGGTCCTACGCTCTTCTTCTAACAACAAAATCTGTACTCCAGTTCACTTCACCGAGTTCTATGGTAACTCCTTCACAGTTCAGGCTACACGCCTTTGGAACTCCTTGCCCGATGACATCAGAAAAGCTCCCAATAAGTACGCTTTTAAAAAGTTGGTCTGTGATCATTTATTAAAGACAACGCATTTTACATGACTTATCTATTTAATATGTATTGCCAAACAGACGTATATATTCATAGTCATTTGTATATACTAATTATGTAATTATGTACTATATTTAAATACGTATACTTGTATGTATATCCATTTATTTATATATTTATATATATGTAAGGATAGATCATATATGTATATATTATGATAGTTAATTATCATTTGTATTGTGATCTCTTATTCTATATTGCCACACCTACGTCAAATTCTCACCACTCCATGGGTTGACTGGTAGAGAATGCCTCAAGGCATTAAGTCCGCCCTTTGTATTCTTTTGTTTAAGAATGCAATAAAGAATAAAATAATAATAATAATAATAATAATTATTGACGGACTCAATTCTTTTTGGCGCCGCACTGGCAGTCTGCCGTATTATAGGTGCCAAACTTTCCACGGCTGGACGCGCTACTGGACAAAGTAGTGCTATCCCAGCCTGGAGAATAAGAATTGAAGAACGTATCGCAAAGGCTAGGGCCCTCATCGGCAGACTGATATGCTTCAGGTCAGGCAATACCAGGCCAAGGATTGTGCGCACCGTCAGGATGGCGTTTGCTGGGACAAATGTTAGTTTGTCCCAGCCGGATATAATGCAAAAACTGACTGAGCGCATAGACGACCTGAAGCAAAGAATAGCTGCTTGGGGAAAGCGGATTCGGCGATATACCGAGAGGTCGACACGGTTCAACCAGAATCGTCTCTTCCAGAGTGATCAGAAGAGGCTCTATAAATCATTGGAGCGACCAATAGTAAGTGGAACGGGCCCTGCACCAAATCAGGCCGACATGGTCGCATTCTGGCGCAGCATGTGGTCAGAACCCGTAAACCACAACGAGGGCCCTTGGACGGAAGTTGTGGTGAGTCAGTGTGCGAGTATTACGCCCATGGACCCCGTCATCATAACGCCGGATGACGTAGCTGAGGCGGTCCGTAGGGCCCCGAACTGGAAAAGTCCGGGGCTTGACGGGCTGCATCACTACTGGCTGAAGAGGTTCATGGTGTGTCACTCTGTGCTCGCCCGACAGTTTCAAGAGGCTCTCAACCAGAAGTCGCTCCCAAGCCTCTTCACTACTGGGATCACTCATTTGGTTCCTAAAGATCAGGGTGCCACAGACCCGAGCAAATACCGCCCCATCACGTGTCTACCGACCATATACAAGACACTAACATCCATTTTGAGCGCAAGAATCGCTCGTCACCTGGACTTAAATCAGGTGATGTCGCGCGCTCAAAATGGATGTCGGGGCGGCGGTCGTGGAACCAAGGAACCACTCCTCATTGACGCGGTCATTGGCAAAGTGGTGAAACGCAACCGTCGGAACTTCTCCGCCGCCTGGATAGATTACAGAAAGGCATTTGACTCGGTGCCCCATACATGGCTAAAGAGGGTCCTCGAGCTGTACAAGATTGACTGTACAGTTCGAGACTTCCTCGGGCAGTGTATGGGGCAGTGGAGTACGATCCTCTGTCATCTAGGCGAGCGGATGACGGCTGCGGAAAGCCGCATAAGGATAAGAAGGGGTATATTCCAGGGCGACTGTCTCAGTCCAATCTGGTTCTGCCTCTCTTTGAACCCTCTCAGTACTTTACTGGAGGGCTCCGGGAGGGGATTTCAGCTTCGGAAAGGAGTTACAAAAGTGACCCACCTTTTCTATATGGATGACCTCAAATTATTCGCCTCCAGTCGCTCCCATCTTATGGAATTGCTAAACATCACGTGTGAATTTAGCAATTCTATTAGAATGGAGCTGGGGACGGATAAGTGTGCGGTCCTCCATGTTGAAAGGGGAAGGGTTGCTAACTTTGAGGGCATAGACTTATCTATGCCCGTCAACTTAAGAACCCTTTCCGAGGCTGAAACATACCGATACCTGGGTATGTCACAAAACATCGGTATCGATGAGGCTGGTATGAAACAGTCAGTTTGCGACGTGTTTTATGCACGCTTGACCAAAGTGCTTAACAGCCTTTTTGTCCGGTGTGAATAAGGCACACGCATATAACGGTTGGGTCATGCCTGTCCTCATGTATACCTTTGGCATACTCAGGTGGACTCAGACTGAACTTAACGCCCTGGATAGAAAAGTCCGCACTACCATGACGTCCCATAGGATGCATCATCCGAGATCGTCGGTAATGAGGCTGTACTTGCCGCGAAAGCATGGTGGTCGTGGCTTCTTGAGCGCGCTCACCATGCATAATCGCGAAGTGTGCAGCCTCCGTAATTACTTCCTGGCGAGATCGGATGATCCATTCTATAAGGACGTCATTTCTTGTGATAAAGGACTTACCCCTCTATCCTTAGCCAACGAGCAATGGCAAGACCCGGCAGTGCAGAGAATTTCCGACCGGGAGACCGTATGGAAGGAGAAGGAGCTCCACGGGAGGTTCTACAAGTCTCTATATGAGCCTTTCGTAGACACAGTAGCCTCCCTCCACTGGCTACGCTTTGGTGACCTCTTCGGGGGAAACCGAGGGTTTTGTCTGTGCAATACAGGATCAGGTTATTAAGACCAACAACTATCGGAGATACATCCTAAAGGATGGCACCGTCGACATCTGTCGAGCTTGTCGCCATCCCGGTGAGTCACTTAGGCATGTCATCTCCGGTTGTTCGGCGCTTTCTAACTCTGAGTACTTGCACAGGCACAACCTAGTAGCCAGAATTCTACACCAGGAGCTCGCTCTGAAATACGGTTTCGTGGATCGGAAATTGCCGTATTACAAGTACTTGCCGGAAGCCGTGCTCGAAAATGATCGCGCCAGGCTCTATTGGGACCGGGCCATCATCACAGACAGGACTATTCTTGCGAATAAGCCTGATATTGTGCTGATGGACCGGGCACAGTCAAGGATATTTTTGGTCGACATTACCATTCCGTGTGACGAGGACCTCGTGAAAGCCGAAACAGACAAGCAAACAAAATATCTGGACCTGGCTCACGAGGTGACCGACATGTGGGGTGGTCTGCCGACCGAAATTATTCCTGTAGTCGTCTCTGCAAACGGGCTAATCCCAGTCAGCCTCTCGGGTCATCTGAGGCGGCTGGGACTACGTGGCGGACCGCTCCAGGCTCAAATGCAGAAGGCGGTGCTCCTCGATACCGCCCGCATCGTCCGCCGGTTTCTTTCCCTATCCCCCTAACCCTCGGCCGTTTGGTCTCCCCTGCCGAGGGCTTCCATCTGGTTGGGCTTTTACTTATTTATGTACTTTCATATTTATTTTATTTTATTGATATTTATGTATGTTTATCTTTTTATTTTCATTTATAATTATATATTTATAGATCCCAACCAGATGAGAAAACTATATAGATACCCCACAATAATAATAATAACGCTCTATTCATAAACTACAGCACGATTTCCTTTTTAAGCCGCGTCTATGTGCCGGTTTCGATGGTTATTACGAATCGTGTTGCATGCAGACTTAACGAGTCCGCGTATACCTTAAGACTTGAAAACAAGAGAGTATAAGCAGTGTATGTTGCTAGGGATGACCTATGGATCTGAGACGTGCTCCTTCACTGCTGGCTTTCTAATATAAAAGTAAGCTCAAGGTTGCTCAGCGAGCTATGAATAGGTTATATACTCAGAGTCTCTGCGCGATAGTTTGTAATGGTGATATCCGTACTAGAACTAGTGTAAATGACACAGCGCAATGGAGCATAAGCTGAAGTGGCAATGGTCCGGCCATATAGCTCATGGGATCGACAACTGATAGGTTTCTCGCAGCCTCGTACTAGTAAGCAAAGTAGAGTGGACCTCGTTAGATGTAATGGGTATGTTCCGAAACGTTTTCAATATACTGCCGAATACAAATGACGTCATCAATAGACACTATATTGTACTGGCGTGCCACCGCCATATTGCGTCGGATATCCGGCCACAATAAAACAATTTTTAATTGTAATTGTGCGCTGAATGAAGCGTGCCAGAATTTGTTTTTATTTATTCAAATACAAAAAATTATAGAATAATTGCTGATTTCTCCATTAGGAGGATATAATGATTTTTTGGAGCACAAAATGACAAAATAATCGCCAACATTTTTTCCAATATGACGCAAATGTATGATGTCATATACTGTCCTATATTTTGGAACGAATCACTAGTATAGCGCCGATTCATGACGTCATTTGCATTGGACAGTACACTGGGTTATATTTTGGAACATACCCAATATGATCTTGTAAGTGATGTAGAAAGTCGATGGGGTGCAGGTGGTTCAGAAACTGGTTTTGTGATTTTCTTTGGGGGGAGGGGTATGTACAACTATGGATATTTATAAGCTAACTAGCGATCGCTTCGGCTTCGCACGGTTGAGATTTCATCTTCAAATGTAAATCTAAACCATCAAGGGATTCATTCGAACACATACAAAAAATTCATCAAAATCGGTCGAGCAGTTTTTGAGTTTTAGCGAGATTACGGACAATAATTAATTTTTATATATAGAGAAGATTAAGATGAATAAAGTAGGGAATGTCATTGACTATTTTTGTATATGATAATAAAACGTTGTATAAATACATTATTTATTACATTATAGCCTATCAAAAGTCAACTGTTAAACCTATGGATTGCCTCATTTTGCCATAATCGGGTTGGAAACCATAAACTATGGTTATTAATTCATATTAAGAACCATAGTTTATGATTGGAATTAATATTTTATGGTTATTAATTTCAGTTGTTGTCAGGATGATATGTGTCAGGTTATTCGCTTCTTAGGACACTGGCGATATGATATGGAACAGTGGTTATTACATCGTGCCGTAATGTATGTTCAGCAGAAATTTGTATTGGTTGTAATGTGTATTGTTTTTGCGTGGTAGAGGCACTTCGCAGCTATATTATGGTTGTAGCACGAATGAATTGGTTGGACCGGGGTATGATCACGTTCTTACAGAATATTAACGTAAAATAGCAGCACCCCAGTGCCCTTTTACCATGAGTGACTGTTTGCCACAATAATTTTATAAAAATGTATGTATGGTTTATACAGGTTGTTAGTGTGAACACCGTTATCCTTGAAACCAATGGTTTGGTTTCACTTATAGAACGTAAATTTAATGAAAAATCACAACATTTTTTTTAGTAAAATCTCAATTTTTCCTTAATCCCTCAATTTTTGGCTATCCTAAGTTATGTGTACTTATTGTGTTTTTATTGGAATGTTGTGTAGGTAGCTAGGGCGAGCGGTGATCTTTACAGTGATTACATCACTCGGGCGCATAGGGTATCCATGAATTTACGGACGGTGTCGGACAAAAACTTTTAAAATTTATGAAAGAAAATAGCTTTTTCTTTTAATTCGGATAAATATTTTTTATATTAAAGCCAACTACCTATGGTTTTAGTGACAACGGTGTTTACACTTACACCTTGTATAGCTGCAGTGTGTGTAGCGCGTATCGAGCTTATGTACTTATGTAGTGGTACGTTGTGCGCAGCCGGTGCGGGTCGTCGTTCGCGCGCGACTCGGGCGGCTCGAGCGGGCACTGCACGCAGCGCAGTGCGCCGCCCCACCCCCCGCACCCGCACCACGCGCACCCCACCACCACGCACCACGAACACTCCAGGTCTGCACTACGTTTTTATATATTTTACATTTTAGCTGACCCATTTTAAGAAGATTTTCGTCAATTGTAAATTGATGACCTTTTCTTATGATATAGATTGTATTTCAGGGGTGATACCATATAAATTTAGAGAGCAAATGGTGGCAAAAATTTAATTTTAAACATTCACATTGAAAACTTCATTGATAGTCATCGGCGCACGAGAGAAAGATTGAACGACACAGGACCTACAAGTTAACGCGTTTTCCTAACCACGGTAATGAAGCACCACCAACTGCCTGACTGAAGGCTGCTAGCGAATATTGAGGATTTCTTTCAGAAAATCTCATTAATTTTGATCTAACGACACGGTTACCATCACAAAACTAACAAGGCCGTTATATTATTTATATTATATATATATATATATATATATATATATATATATATATATATATATATATAAATAAATAAATATAACGACTACTTTGTACCTTTTAAATATTGCGCGCGTAGGGATGTGTGTTTATTTTCCAATTTGAATGGAGGAGGGGTGCAGTAACTTAAATATAATAACATTTGTTACAAATACATTCCATCAAATAAAACATTGATTGTGTTTACGTTCATACTAATAATGTCTATCGCATAATACGCTGTAGTCATACAGTTGCACAGAGTAAAAATTGTTGCCAAAAGAATATTAGAATTTTGCTAACCAATAATGTATATCGGCGCAACAAAGTATAAGCGACGTATCGGCGCAGTACTTAAACAATTATTTTTAAGTTAAAAATTAATAGACGTTATTTCAACTTTCATAACGTTGTCTTTATTTTTATAATTAGTTGATTATTGTTACTAGATAAATAATTTAAAATGCTTTAATTCAAAATATAATTAAATGCGGGTAACTTTGGCTATAATAATTTGAAGGTAATCATTCTCAAAGCGCAGGAAGTGGGGATGGCTTGCGCACACTCGAATTCGGTTTAAAAGGCGCGCGACGGCGGGGAGATGCCCTGCACCGCTAAAGTATTAGGGGTCCCCTCACCCCTCCCTCCTTCGGTTGCCCATTTTCTAAAAATGGGGCAGGATTCATTCTTGCTCGAGCTGTCGTGCTGTTCGTACTGTAATTTGAATTCGTGAACTATAAATTGTGAATAATAGTGAATAATTATTAAATTGTGAACAATAGCGTGTAACTGTTAATTGTGAGGAACTATTAGTTATGGTTAGTAAAATCAGTTAAGAGTAAATAAGTGATACTTATTATTAAACAAAGCAAAAATGAGTGAAACTAGAAATCTCAATAATGACGTCATCAATGAAAACTTTATAGTTTTAAAAATACTTCCGCTGCTAATATTCCGTCACATATTAGATATTTGTGTTTTATTTATTAAATACGAGTTCAAAGTGAAACATAGCTTGCTTAATAAATAATATTGAATTTGTAATAAGTTACAGTTGAATTTCGGACTATAGTTTGAGTAAAAGATGGTTGTTGTTGTATCGGGCGCAGTCGGTACGGGTCGCGGTGCCGGTCGCCAGCGGAGTGCTACGTGTCCGCGCCGCCGCAGTTCCAGGACGGCGCGCCCTCGCCCCCGCCCGTCCCCGCGACTGCCCCCGCCGCGACCCACCCCGCACCCCATCTCTACTCCACGCACCCGCGCGTCGGCATACACTTTCAGGTGCGTACACCTGCCACTATGTGTCACACACACATGTGTCAATCATTCATTTTAGTGACCCTTGTGTCATACTGTAGGAGTGCGAAGCCTTTGTATCTGGTATTTTGTATAAATATATTGTGAGCCTTTTCCAAGCGGGAAGGGATAATAAAATAATAACGTAAACCTGATACAATTGGAATAGAAATAAAAATGGAACGTTTATGTTCTTAACCTTTCTCGAGCCCTGTTTCTCTTAGCTTATAAGGCACTACCAACAGCTTTCAATTGCTTTTGTGAATATTCATTCTTCCAAAAGACACCTAAAAGAACTAAGTTACTAAACAAACACAATGTAATAAGGGTCCTAAGACGATCACGCCAAAATATTACAAACTTCCTGCTATTAAACCTTTTGACAGATCATTTAGAAAGATCAAAACATATTTTGTTTATCCTGGTCACAAATATATAATTTTATTTAATAGGGGTAAATTAGTTATATAATAAATTTAATATTTAATATAATATTTGTTTTATATATAGAGAGTGGGGGAAGCGTTACAATACGAACTGGGTCATTCCAATGAATCTTTGCTATTAAAAAGAATAATTTTTTATTCAATATAGATTACAAGTAATTTCTATTGAAAGTCATTTTTCACTTTTATCCACTGGTTCGGAAAGCAAGAAACCCAATTCAAGTTTATTTTTTAAAGTAAATTATACATTAGGAATGATTATAAAACTATTTGAATCATTTATTTGATTTTATCAATTTGGGTCTCAGTACTCGGTGATCTGTAAGACGGTCACAGATCAGAGTCGGGTCAACTACGTCACAGTACTAGTATATATTGGCGGAAGCAATTACCACAATTATTTTGTATAATAAATATTAAGAAAAATCTTATTCTCGTAGTACTTGCCTGTTATACATTACAATACAATTGTAAATTACATTAAAAATTCGCGCAAATCAGTTAATCATAAGTCACAGGTAGCCCTACCTCCTGAGGTAGCTCAGGGGCTAAACACTCGCTGTAAGTTTTACAGTTTGAAAATGCGTAATGTATGAGGCTTAAAGTTTAAGACATAGTAGAACCACGTTGCTACGAATTTTAGTTGTAGCACGAATGACTGCTCAATTGGGGAAGGACGACGTTTGCATGGAATACCAGCGTAAAATAATCAACATCGTCTCGTACAGGTGCTAAACATCACACTTGGCAACCAAATTGACGATTGCAGAAGCAGACGTCTCGCGTCTCCGACTAGTGGCATTTATCGAAAGCCATCACCAGTCTGCGAGTTCACTGCTGAACATGGCCTCACTCTGGGCATACTACACTTGGCAAGCTAATTGTCGATTGTTGTATCAACCGCATTATTAAGTTAGGATAACGGCTATTATTTAATACTATTTCATATATTTTCAACAGGCAAGCGCACCCCCTCCCCAGTTTCAAGACGAACCACCAATGTACGACTACGGCGACTACGACTGCTCTTACAAAACTCCACTTAAATGCCTTAACGTGGGACGCAAGGACTACGGAAACTCCAGGGAATACTCTAGGTTAGTTATTGTTACTGATCATCTACATTGAAAATGGTTAAGTAATATTATATTTGAATTACAATATATGTGTCATATTAAGTAAAATATCAACTTATGATGAACCTTTATTCTGTTCTAATTAACCTCTTAACTACAAAGCGTTCAAATTTGACCGCGGCGATATTCCGTCAAAATTCAAGAGGTCAAATGAAACCGCACGCACCCACAGCACTTTAACCCATAAATACTTAAGACTACTTTTCTATGAAGAATGTTGGCATAATAGAATCAATATGAAATATTCTATCCTCTAGTGGAATAACAAGTCAGATGGATATTTATTTATAATCTACGTTCATTTCGTACGCCATTTTCGTGTGAATGTTATTGTGTTGATTTTTGGATTTTTCTAGTGTTATATTAGTGTTTTAGTTTAGTGTTTTATTATAGAATTGTAATGAAAGTTTTTGTGTGCTTTTTACGTAAATAATTTCGGTTAATATATAGAAATAATTGTAATTTTCAAGTTGCCAACATCCGCTTGGTATGTTTTTTTGTTATCAAAATACAATAAAATGTTTTGTACTAAAGTAAAACCTGACTTTTGTTAGACTACAGGAGAATTTTGTATAGATTTTATAATGCCAAACTTCTTTGCAGAAAAGTTGTCTCTAAATATAAGTTTTAATGGTTTAAAGTGCTGTGATTGAGTGTAGTGGGCATTGGGTGCACTGCATGGGATTTTTATGGGGATTGAAGGGTTAAATCGTAATTATTAACATTAGATCGAAATTTCAAACATATATTTTCGGAAGAATACCTTTCACTAATTATAAATGAAATATGATATAATCCTCAAATGATACAAAAAAATAAGCATTTAATTTACTACACGTCCCTACTGATGTTCTGATCAAATTTTAAGGGTAATTTAAATATTAAAATTTATTTCTATTTATTCGTATTTCGTGACTTATTATTTTTGTTGTGGCAGGGCACTAAAAATATGCCTTAAAATTTTGGCACTAGATTACATTCACACAGCAACATAAAGCTGTTCCTCTCTTCACCAGCAACATAAAGCTACTCCTCACTTCGCTTATTGTCGCACCTACAAATATATCAGTATATCTTTACCCTAGACTTGTCATTAAATAATTGTTATATTGTCTTTTATCTATTTATGTAAAAAATATGTTATTCGTTCTGTACATCACATTAATGACACATTATTTCTGTTAATCGATATATCTACTGTTTGTACTTTCTATAATTTCTCCGATTTAAATCTCGATCTTAAATTAATCGAATATCAAATAAAATTACATAAATAGTTTATTTCTGTTATATAAATGCAGTGAGGGGAAGTAAAATGAAAAAAAAAACTTAAGCAAAATAATTTCGAACAAATAAGACGCATCCATTAAACATTATTAATTTTATGTACATTATAAAAATATGTTCATTATGTTATACATAACATACATAAACACTCACGCCTGTCACCCAGAGGGGTAGGCAGAGACTACAGACTTCCATTTAGCACGATCCTGACACACCTCTCTCGCCTCTTCCACATCCATATACCTACGCATACATGCTCGTCAGTTAAGGGTACTCTTCATTTGGACCATTTTTAGTATATCGCCAATTTGATCGACAAACTTTCGCCTAGGACGGCCCTTTCCGACTCTTCCATTCACTTGCAACTTTTCTTTGTCAGTCTTTCCTCATTCATTCTTTCTACATGACCAAACCACCGAAGTATTACTTTCTTAATCCTGGTCACCGCATCATCTTGCAAACCACACTCTTCTTTTATCACACAGTTTCTCACCCTGTCACTCAGATTCACCCTAACATACTCCTTAGGACCGCATTTCTACTGCATTTATTCTACTCTCGTGCTTTTTCTTCCACATCCAATTTTTACTACTATACGTTAAAGTAGGGACTAATACAGTCCCTACTTTAAGGTATGGTAGATACTTTGCTTATATTATAGTATCCCGGAATAAATCTATATTCTATAAAATTTTATCTATAGGTATAGCGAGTCGAAGCATTTGTTGTATCGTTTTAAAACTGAATCGATTTTAAAAACAATTCTCAATGTTCTAACGCCAGATACCACGAACCCAGTACGGAGCTGGTGAACAAACAGCCTCAGTACCAAGAAGTGCGCATGCGGCCTCGCATCGACGACAAACAGGAGTATGTCAACGCCTCTCAGGTAAGATCGTTTTTCGTTTATAGTTTACGATATTGTTTTATTTGATGGATAAGGACACAATCTTATCACATATAATTAAACATCAGTCATGTCATACGCTATAAAAATATTTTTCAAATTCAAATAAGGATGAAAATGAGCACACACTTTACCTAAGTATAAGTGGATGCTGTGACCCATAGACAACTACATATTGTTGCGCGCCTAAGTTGACGTCTGGCACTAGCGCTATCTGTGTCGGGTAACGGAGCGAGGAGAGCTTTCCAGAAAATGACATCACTAATCTTTCAACCGACAGCGCCATCTGGTATCGAAATGAAGAACAGCTTTCTAGAAGCCCGACACTCGAACTTTCGGCGCCTAGTCGATTGGCGCGCGTATTTACTTGAATATTCTGAATGTTTCGGTGATAATGTGTATTTAAAGGCGCTGCAAGATGCGATCGAAGAAGTATTGAATTCGGCGAGACAAGCGAAGCTTCGGAGCGAAATAAAGCGAATCAGTGTGGTTAATTATTAGTGTTTTAAGTTTTAATTAGTGTAAAGTGAATTAAAGTGTAAATATTGGTAATTAAATCGGCAGTTTTTATTGTCACGAACCTCAAGCTCGTAACAGTTGGTGTCAGAGGGTGTCCGTACTCGAAGTCAACGCCAGCAGGAGACAGACCAAAGAAGATTTGGTGGTGCAACGCCGCAGACGTCGGAAGGCCAGCCGCCGGCTGCAGGCCCGTCAGTAGCTCCTACATCTGCAGCACCTGACTTAGATGCTCTGATGGTGATGCTGCAGGAGCAGGCTCGCCGACAGGAGGAACAGGCTCGCCGACAGGAGGAACAGGTCCGTCAGTTGAAAGAGCAGCTGCAGAGCGGACAAGAGGAACAGGTCCGTCGTTTGGAAGAGCAGCTGCGGGGTGGACAAGAGGAACAGGCCCGTCGGTTGGAAGAGCAGATGCTCCTTATGAAGGACCTTCACGCTACCTTCGGGAAGGAGGTGAAGGATAAGGTTGCTCAACATGACAACCGCCTGTCAGAAGCTGAAACCCGAATTGAGAAATCTGAAACCCGAATCGACCAAGTGAACAATCGGGTTGACAACGTGATGGCTGACGTGAAGAAAACGCTGGACGACCTCAAACTGAGGGATGAAACTACAGCTCCCTTAGTAGCTACAACACCTTCGCTACGTGGATTCAAAGTGCCGCCGTTCGACGGGACTTCTTCCTGGTCGGCCTACAAAATACAGTTCGAGGCCGTCATGGAGGCGAACGGCTGGAATAAAAGCAAAGCCATGACTGCACTCATCCTAGGCCGGCTCGACCAAGCCTTAACTGTGTTGGAAGCTCTCGGTAAGAAAGTGACCTACGAGCAGCTCCTTGAGGCGTTGGAGGCGAGTATGGCGACGCTCACCTGGAACACGTCTTTCGCGCGCAGCTTAAAGATCGCGTGCAGCGCATCAATGAAAACCTGCAGCAGTGGGCTCTAGAGGTGGAGAAACTGGTGCGCAAAGCATACCGGTATGTACCTGCGCTCATTGAAGGGAACCTGGTGCAGACATTCGTCGACGGCATCCGCGACCTTGAAGTCAGAGCTGCTGTGAGGCTGGGGCACCTCGAAACTCTTAAGGATGCCTTGGCCCATGCACTGGAGGTGGAAGCCGTTCGGCAGGATCATCGTTCCCATCGCGTCAGGGAGATTGCAGCAGCTACAGTTCGCGACCGCAAGTAAGGATACAGCCCTAGGTGCTATGGCTGTGGGGAAAGGGGCCATCTTAGATCCAGCTGCCCTAAGCGAACTGTAGAAAAGGAAGTTGATCGATCTCGAGAGGGTAGTGCAGCTAACGGCACCACCTGGCGGCGGCAGGATCATCGCTCCCCTCACGCTAGGGAGGTTGCAGCAGTTACGGTTCGCGACCACAATAAAGGATACAGCCCTAGGTGCTATGGCTGTGGGGAAAGGGGCCATCTTCGATCCAGCTGCCCTAAGCGAACCCTAGAAAGGGAATGTGAACGATCTCACAAGGGAAGTGCGGCTAACATCGCCGCCCAGCAGCGGCCGGGATACGACTTTACTATTAGACATCGCAGCGGGAAATCTCATGGCAACGCAGATGCATTGTCAAGAAGACCTTGTCTTGAAATTGGAAACATTGTACTAGGCAAGAGAGTAAGGAAGTGGTACCCGTGAGGATGGTCAGGACAGACCACCTCAGCAACGAGTGGAAGGACAGCCTACGACATGCACAGCAGGAAGATCCGGACATCAAGCCGATTCTGGAATGGATGAAGGCCCGTGCTACCAAGCCTAAGTGGAGCGACGTCTCAGCGATGAGTTCGACCACTAGAAGCTATTGGGCCCAATGGGACAGCTTGCTGATTCAGGATGGAGTCCTGTGCCGTAAATGGGACATTGGTCGAGGAGACAGCTGTCGTTTGCAAATGGTTGTCCCTAAAGCTAAAGTGCCGAATGTTCTACAGCTGTGCCATAATGGTCGTTTAAGAGTCCTTCTGAGAGTTAAACGAACTCTACTGGAGGTCCGAGAACAGTTTTACTGGGTCCATTATCGTGACGATGTCGAGGATTGGTGTCGTACATGTACAAGTTGTGCGGCTGCGAGGGGACCTCGGACACGTAGTAAAGGAGCATCGAAATTGTACAATGTTGGTGCACCATGGTATAGGACAGCCCTTGACGTTGCGGAGCCGTTACAGAAAGGCGCAAGCGGGACTCCTAAGATCGTCCATGTGGATCGCCTGGCATCGTTATTATGGGGCCGATAATGCTCGGGACGAGCATGTCTTAGGAGGGGGCAGTGTTGCGCGCCTAAGTTGACGACATGTACCCGGCACTAGCGCCATCTGTGTCGGGTAACGGAGCGAGGAGAGCTTTCCAGAAAATGACATCACTAATCTTTCAACCGACAGCGCCATCTAGTATCGAAACCAAGAACTAAGCTTCTAGAAGCCAGACACTCGAACTTTCGGCGCCTAGTCGATTGGCGCGCGTATTTACTTGAATATTCTAGATGTTTCGGTGATAATGCGTATTTAAAGGCGCAAGATGCGATCGAGGAAGTATTGAATTCGGCGAGACAAGCGAAGCTTCGGAGCGAAATAAAGCGAATCAGTGTGGTTAATTATTAGTGTTTTAAATTTTAATTAGTGTAAAGTGAATTAAAGTGTAAATCTTGGTAATTAAATCGGCAGTTTTTATTGTCACGAACCTCAAGCTCGTAACAATATATTATTTATTATGCATACAGATGCGTTCTCACCATAGAATGCTATAATACATACATAATAGAACGGGGGAGTGAGCGGAGCTCGTGTAACTAAAATGTCACTAACACGTCAATTCACACGTATGAAAAGAACACGTATAAAAATAATACTCTCTATCCATTCCGACGCTGTCTGAAGTGATGATGTCGGTCGTAAAATGATCATTCCCTTGTTGCACTTTTTAACACCTATTATAACCCATATCTTAAACTTTTCCATGTCCTCATCTTCTTTCCCTTCCCAATGGAAGGACGCCCAAATCATACCTTTACCTAAAAAAGCAAATCCTTCAAGTTTTTCTGAATATCGTCCTATTTCAATTCTTCCTTTCCTTTCCAAAGTTTTAGAACGCCTTGTCCAACAACAAATTAATTCCTTTTGTTTAAGAAATAGCATCCTTAGTCCTCTCCAATCTGGCTTTAGATCTGGTCATAGTACGACTACGGTGTTATTAAAAATCACCGACGACATTCGTCACGGTATGGAGAATCATCAAGTCACAGTATTGGTGTTGCTGGATATCAGCAATGCCTTCAATACTGTTGATCGTGATATCCTGTTAGGGATTCTGCGTTCTCTTAACATATCTCCAACTGCAATTTCCTGGATTCATAGTTATTTACACGGGCCTTATCTCCTCTTTTATTCGCAATCTTTATTAATACGATTACATCCCAAATATCTTCTCTCTACCACTTGTATGCAGATGACCATCAAATATATTTACAAACAACCATCGGAGATCTTGCCAAAGCTGTTGAATGTATCGACAAGGATCTGGCTATTATTCTCGACTGGACACGATCTTATGGGTTGACGGTTAACCCTTCAAAATCGCAAGCTATAATTATTGGGAGTTCAAGAACTATTTCCAAAATTAAAAAATGTCAACTTCAACCCGTTGTATTTAATGGTATTCTTATTCCATATAAAGAAGTAGTGAAAAATTTAGGTATCCTTTTGGATTGCAGCCTTTCTTGGACATCCCAAATTAATGCAGTGAGCCAAAAAATGTTTGCGGCTTATGCTTCACTCCGAAGGCTTAACTACTTTTTACCCATTTCCACCAAAATTACGCTCGCACTATCTTTGCTACTCCCTATCCTCGACTATGCTAACATTTGTTACCTTGATATCACCGAGGAGCAACTTAATAAACTTGAGCGACTCCAAAATCTCTGTATACGGTTCATATTTGGGCTTCGTAAATATGACCATGTCTCTGAATACCGCACTAAACTCAAGTGGCTCCCAATCCGTCTTCGTCGGAATACTCATATACTTTCTGCGCTCTACTGCGTCTTATTTAATGTATCAAGTCCTCCCTATCTGAAAGAACGTTTTAAATTTCTTGGCTCTTGTCACGATTTTTCCTTACGGTCCAAAGAAAACCTTTCGCTCCAATGTCCTGTACACTCCTCGACATTTTATGATAAACTCCTTACCCCAGTCCATTAAAAGTGCTCAATCTTTAAATGTGTTCAAGAAACAAACTATTTGTCTCTTTAACTCCTCTCTCTTCCTCCTCTTAGTTATGGTCACTAATATACCTTAAGTGTGTTGTCATTTTATAGTATATAAGTTGTATTTTTTTTGTCTAATTTAGTGCACCCTACCCATTAATCTTATTTTATTTTTATTAATTTCCTCTTCTGGGTTGTCTGGAAGAGATTGCTATGTAGCAATAAGACCGCCTTTTGTTTATCCCTCATTATTTGTTCATTATTTGTTATATTTATGTTTTGTTGTCATCGAAAGGCGCCTCTAATCCTAAGTGCACAATAAAAATTGTATTGTATTGTATTGTATTGTAAATGTTAACTTGAGATGTGTTTTAATAGTGTTTCCAAATTTTTAAAAAAATGCCAAATTGCACCATATTTACAAATAAATATGTATTAAAATTTAAAGGATTTTTTTAATGATGATTTTGAACATTAATCAAAAGTCTAAAATGTGTAAATTTATTCAGTCTGTCAACACAGCGAATCGGGTTTGGCGACGTCAAACCTCGTACAAAATAAAGTTGACAGCCATTCTATTGTGTATTATAGTATTCTATGCTTCTCACTCACATCCGGCACGTTGACATAAAGTACTGTAGGTATAATACCACTGCGGTGGGAGAATACCACGTTTAAGATATTGTTGCCTTTGGATAGGCTTACGTCTAACCGCAGATTTTAACTATTTATATATGATATTTAATTGCAATATTATAATATTACAATTAAATATCATATTTATTGTGTAAAGTTTTCTCATTATACAGAGCATCCAAATTTTATGTTTAAGTTAAAGTATGTAAATAATAATAAAGCGTTATTGCAGTTATTGAAAATACAAGTAAATAAGGCTTGTACTTTTATTTGAAAAATATCCCTATTTGAATGTTAATGGGCAACGCTTACGCGCGCTCCAAAAAATAGTAGGCGTTAGATATTTAGGAATGACAAATCAGTTAAAATTATGCATACTTGCCTGAATTTAAAAGATAAAAAGGACAGAATGTTTGAGATTTTTTTAATTAATTTTTCTTCACCATATGCCTATATTACTTATCCTGAACCTTGTCTGCAAGTTTTCGAGTATATTACAAAATAAATATTTAATATTATTTTAACTTCAATAATATGTTTGTTGCAGATATGCCCGCCAGAAGAAGTGACGTCACCACTGGGCACGTTCAAACGCCAAAGATGTCTGCGCTACAAGCAAAGGCGACCGAGACCGATACTGCGTTCCAAATCAGACATATCTGACAGGTAATTTTGATATTTGACTGGTATGACTCTTTTTTAAACGACTTCAAATAGAAGAGGTATTCAATTCCACTGTATATTCTTTAACTTCCCGCTATGAAAGTCAATGATTTTCAAAAATGGGAAAGTTATTGTTTTCACCCCGGTTTTTGAAAATCGAGTTTTCGTCACATCTCGACGTTACGAGGTCCTAGGAAACTATTTTTCGATGATGTCCGCATGTATGTAAACATCTCATAACTTAAAGATATTAATAGTTATTTTGCAACAATCCGCTAAATTAAATAAAATGATGTGTCTTCCTTAGATTGAAGAGCACCTCCCGCCCTCCCTCAATTGCGTGCACTATTCCCGTCACCACCAATCCCAGCTACCCTACTCCCAACGCCACTATTTTAGGAAGGACACACCATCGACGATAATACGACGTGTTTCGCCTCTACTTTAGGCATCTTCAGGTGATGTTGACTCTACGGCGGCTGACCGCGCTGTAAAATAATGTGTTTTGTATAGTGAGTGTAGAAAACCGGAGATCTCTTTCAGGGTTCATACATCAAGGCATTCCACTTAGTCCTCACGGGTACCAACGATGTAGATGTCTATGGGCCACAGCAACCAGTTACTATCAGGTGGACTGTGTGCTCGTTCGCATTTTGTTATTATTTGCAGATATTATCAGAAAGATGCTATGATCCAACTCTTACGACACCCATTGTACGATAGTAGAATATTGACATGTCAAAAGCTTTTGACTTCGTATCACACGATCAGCTTTTGTTCAAATTAGATCAAAACGGAATTAGAGGCCAAGCATATCACTGGATTAAGTCATTCATACAAAACAGGCATCAATGTGTTGAGGTGCTAAAACTTGACAATAGACATGTAAGTCAAAGTTGTAGATCCAAATTTAGAAAAAATGCGTTTGGGGTACCTCAGGGTAGTGTACTAGGTCCACTTTTATTTTTGATATATTTAAACGACTTACCTGAAATTACTAAATATAGAAGTATTTTATTCGCAGATGACGTCGCAGTAATAGTCACAACAAATAAAAATATGTCACTAACAAAACATAATTTTGACATTAATCAAACAATATTTAACGTAACTAAATGGCTAAGTAATAATAATTTAACAATAAACTTAAGTAAAACTCAATATATAAATTTCAATAATATAAATAATAATTTAATAAATATTAATTATAATGGACAAACTCTTTGTAGTGCAACTAATATGACATTCCTAGGTATAATTATTGACAAAGAATTAAAGTGGAAAGAACAAGTTTGTAAAATATGTAATAAAATAAACAGGTTCACATATGCGCTTTATAGACTAACAAAAGTGGCAACAAAACAAACTGCAATTATGACTTATTTTGCATATATTGAGTCGATTATCCGCTACGGAATTATAATTTGGGGCAACAGTGCAGAGATTAATAAAGTTTTTATTGCACAAAAAAAATGTGTTCGTGCCATTCATGGTGTGGGCCCAGATGTTTCATGTCGACCTCTATTTAAGACACTGGGAATCTTACCCGTGCCTTATTTATATATATTAGAAGTTGCTAAATTTGTAAAACAACACGGGAAAAGTTTTTATAAACTTAACAAAGAAGTGGTATCCATGAACACGAGATACCCAGATCGGATAGTAATTAGCGAAATACCGAAAAGTAAACGCTTTAGTAAAAATTGTTACTGGATGGGTAAAACAATATATAATAAAATACCAAACATAATCAAAGATCTTCCTATAAAAACATTTCAAAAAAAATTATACCAGTGGCTTCTTCAAAAAACATTTTACTCCGTAAACGAGCTTTTAAATTACTGATGAAAACTTTTATAGGACTATAGCTCAAAATTGACATTTTTTTTTTGTTATTAACTGACATGGTATATAATATTGTTTAATTTAATTTACTTTATTTGTTAATTATAATTTTTTTTTGTACTTTTGATATCTTTAGAATATAATTGGATGGATTGTTTGTTGTTGCTAATTTAATGATTTAATAATGATTGATTTTGATGTGTTAATTTTGTATAAATATAATTTCTAAGAATAAATAAATTTGCATGTCTCCATTAGAGACTTAGTGTGTATGCATAGTATTTAACAGTATATCATGTAACATACATACTAAGAAGCAAATAAATAAATAAATAAATAAATAAATATTGATGTCTATTGCACCACATTTACACGGTATTCGCATACGCTGACAATATATAAAATCGTATCACTTTTACGTTTTCACGTGCGAGGTTTGCTGGTAAGGTTAAAGTTGTTGGTGCAGGTACCGTCGTGCAGAGGGATGCACGGACACGTGCGCGGAGGAGCGCGGCTCGGGATCGGAGGGGGGCGGCGGGGGCGGGGGCGAAGGCGAGAGCACGCGCCTGCAGCAGTTCTTCGAGCGGCTGGGGCTGGAGGCGCGCCAATACGACGCTCTGATGCTGGCCGCGCCGCCCGACAGCCCCGTCTTCTTCTCCTCTGCATCCACCGTGGACTCAACGCAGCTGCCGCCCGCTGCCGACTACACGGTACGCACTTTGTTCTGTTAACCGAACTACGTGAATACACGGTAGGGCCACGTTATAGAAGCAGCAGGGAAACGAGTAATGACTTTTACTGCTTTGCTGACTGTGGGGTGGGTGCTGGCTGGTTAAAAGAGCCCCAAGGATTTCGATCTCGCAAACCCATGATGGGAACAGCCTAATCATTAAGGGCGAGGTCAACGGAATGCCGTGTAAACCGACCATAGACATTGGAACCTCTCGCACCACGGTTGTAGTTCAGTTCCTTAGGGACTCCGTATATAACGCATTAAATGCATTAGTTTGGTGACAGCCACCGGTCAGTGTATACCCGTCCATAGAGATAAGGAGATGAAGTTGAAGCTAAGCAATGTGATCTACCTGCATAATGTCATCGTGGGTGATCTAGTTTAGTTTACTACGGGGTGTTTTCCGCAACTCCACGTCTAAGCGCGTATTTTGCGTGTGGGCAGGAATAATATGGTTATTCGAGCCATGATATCTCCACGAAGAGCTCAGCAGTCCCTTGTTGCAAGCAACTTCGGGGAGCGATCCCGGCATGCCGAGATGTATGAAGCGACTTCTGGACATGTCAGCAACACGTGAGCCGCCGTTTCTTCCTCTCCCATGCATGCCCTGCACAGGGGGCTGTCAGTAACACCTATGGTGAACAAATGTTTGTTAAAAGAGCTATGTCCTGTGATAGCACTTGTTACTATCCTGATCTGTGGCTTGTTCAGTCTCATTAGAACCTTGGTTAGACGACTGTTTATTTAAGGTAGGGCCTCCCTAGCTTGTCTACAGTCTACAAAATTTTTCCAAAGCTGAGCGTGTAAATTATTGAAGTATCTACGTACCAGTGAACGAACGTAGCCAAAGGGGATTGGTATTATTGGTTCCGGCCCTATAGTTGCCAGGGTCGATCCCCTTCTGGCCAGTTCATCTGCTGCATCGTTGCCTCTAGATTCACTGTGTCCTGTGCTTTGTGCTGTATGTGTGTTGTGCTTACATACCTCATCATCATCGTGGCTGATATAATGGACGACTTCATCCTGGGCCTAGACTTTATGAGAAAGAATTGTTGTGAGATCGACGTTAAGCAAGGTGTTTTGAAATGTGGACAAGAGGAACTTTTCGTGGAAGGGGTGTTACCAGGGAATGTATATAGCCTTAAGAAGATTGTTCTTCCGCCGAGATTGGAAACGATTAGTTTTCCTCGGAATCCTGTGCAAGCTCATCTTTGAGTACTCGTGGGAAGGGTAGACAATGACCTTGCATTGAAAGTGGCCCGAACCTTGGTCAGAGCCACTGACGTCTCAGGAGTACAAGTGCTGAACCTTTGTGATCAGGAACAGATTATAGAAAAGGCCACACTGGTTGGTACTTGTGGCGAAGTGGACTGGTTGCGTCGGTGCCAATATTTATCGACTGGGACCCCCAGCAAGGATGTACAAACGAGAATGACCACACTTTTAGAAGACTGTCGCAGCGTTCTCTCCCCGAATGAAATGGTCAAGGCGAAGAAGTTGTTAAGTCTGTAATGTTTTCTCGTCAAACGATGCTTACATATGAAAGACTGGCTAATTCAACACAAAATAAACACAAGAGAAGAATTACCTATCCGACAGCGGCCAAGAAGATTGCCGATAGCACTTGAAAACGAAGTGGAAACCATGATGAGGAAATGGTGAAGGGTAGTGTTATTGAACCTTCATTTGGTCCATGGTATTCACCTGTGGTGCTAGTAAAGAAGAAGGATGCGGTTTTGTGTTGACTACGGTCTTCTGAACGACGTTACGAAGAAGGACAGCTATCCCTTGCCACTTGCATGCTTACAGGAATAAGGTGGTTTAGCGCGCTGGACCTGAAAAGTGGCTACTGGCAAGTTGGAATTGATCCCAGAGACAAGAAGAAAACTGCATTCTCGACTGGAAAGGGTCTGTGGCAATTTAAAGTAATGCCGTTTGGATTGTGCAATGCTCCGGCACCGTTTGAAAGGTTGATGGAACTTGTACTTACCGGGCTAATTGGCGATGCCTGTCTGGTCTACTTGGATGACATCATCATCGTAGGCCGTACGTTTGGGGAACACCTTCATAACCTGGAACGCGTGCTCACGAAGATCCAGAGTGCAAACCTCAAGTTGAGTCCGAAGAAACGAACGGCAAGTTAGCTTTTTTGGGTATGTTGTGTTGGAAGAAGGTATCCGCACGGATTCAGAGAAAATCGCCGCTGTCAAAGATTGGCCGGTTTCAAAAGAAAAAACGCAGGTTAGAGCTTTATTTGGGTTTGTGCTGCTATTATCGGCGATTTGTGAAGAACTTTGCAGATATAGCCAAACCTCTGCACAAGCTAACCGAGAAGAAACGATATTTCTGCTGGGATGAAAGTTGCGATATCGCTTTCCAGGAGCTTAAGGACCGTCTGTGCAAAACACCAATTTTGGTGTACCCTGATGCGGGCAAGGAATTTATTGTTGACACAGACGTAAGTGACATAGGACTAGGCGGTATGATGTCTCAACGGAATGGTGATCAAGAGGTTGTGATAGCGTACTTCAGACAACTTCAAGTCATTGTCAAAGCTGGAAAAGAACTTTTGTGTCACAAGACATGAATTGCTTGCTGTGGTATAAAGTCGTTTCAGCATTTTATCAAATATCTTCTGGTTCAATAATTTCACTTACGAACTGACCATACTGCTTTGAACTGGCTATTACTGTTCAAAAATCCAGAAGGACAAGTTGCGAGATAGATTGAATTACTGCAGGAATATGACTTTGTGACCGAACATCGCAGCGGGAAATGTCATGGCAACGCAGATGCATTGTCAAGAAGACCTTATACTGAAGATTGCAAACGTTGTATTAGGTAAGGAAGTGGTATCTGTGAAGATGCTCAGGATAGATCACCTCAGAAACGAGTGGAAGAACAGTCTACAACATGCACAGCGGGAAGATTCGAGAATCGAGCCGAATCTGGAATGGATGAAGACCAGTGCTCCCAAGCCCAAGTGGAGCGACGTCAAAGCAGTGCCGGATTAACCACGTAGCAAGAGTAGCAATTGCTACGGGCCCCGCGTATAAATACCTGACCATGACCGCCTAAGCGTAATTTTTTGAGTGAAACTTATAAAAACGTAGTATACTGTATTACTTGATATCACAAAAACGTCAAACGTTGCACCTTTTCCATCTAAGACAATCAACGTCAAACAATCGGTAACCGATTATTTCGTTGGCGAAAATAAAACAGAATTGCATAAGGTAAACGAACAAGTTTCAACGCCCCCTTCACTCACTTCGCCCACCCAGATTCCAGATGTGAAGGATCTTACGTCTTCCTACATCTTCCTGTTTAACCTTCTGCTGACCTCCGGATAGCTATCAGATCTCCATCAAAGCCCCTCTTGGCTCTTCGGTTCATTGTCTGATCCGGAGTACAGTGCCCGATTGGGAGGCTGCCGCCGTGTGTCGTATTATTATAGGTCAACAGATTCTGATTGTATGCGGGTTTTTTTTCCGCATAAACGTATTTGCTTCACGCTGGCTAATCCTAAAAAACATCGTTGCTGAGTTTGTCGCCGATTTCATGCAAGGGATGGAACTTTTCATCCCTTCATCTATATTGCCTATTGGCGGCAGATTCCTGTCTAGATTTGGAAGCTCCTGCAAAATTGCGTTGCGTCAAAAGCAGGCGTGTTGCGAGGCCCGAGCTGACGCATCTTTGCCCCGCGATGCAAACACTAGCGCACTCAAAAAGAAGTATAATTCTGCCTCCAGGTCCTTCAAAAGAGTTATCGCTAGGTCAAAGTCGGATCACATGGGGAGAATTGGCGAGAAACTACTTTGCCTTCCTTTGGGAACTCGTGTGTTCTGATCCCTCGCCAAGGCTCCTAAAGGTAATTTCTGTAAGCCATCATTACATCCTTGCGCAGGGAATATGATTCGTTGGCTCACGCTGTAAAAGAGAAAACCGATGTTCTAGGTTCTTTTTTTGCATCCAATTCGGCTCTCGACGACAGGGGAACATACCTCCGAACATCCCGCGGTGTGAGTGTTCAATGCCGCATGTGCTGTTTACACAACACTCGATGCGCAAAACGTTCCTGTCCTTAGACGTCAACATGTCGAGTGGGCCTGATGGAATCCCCCCAATTGGGCTGAAGACATGTGCTCCAGAGTTGGCACAGATCCTTACGCGTCTTTTTCGATTCTCTTACACTTTAGGCCTCGTTCCAGATTTATAGAAGACAGCCTTATGCACCCAATCTCTAAAAAAGTCGACCGCTCAGCACCCATCCAACTATAGGCCTATGGCCATCACCTTGTTCTCCAAAATAATGGCATCCATTATTAACTGCCGGCTCATGCGGTACCTTGAAGAGCATCAACTGATGTGTGACCGTCACTATGATTTCCGTCGAGGTCGCTCAACTGCCGATCTTCTTGTCTAGCTGACTCGCCGATGGGCGGAGGCAGTCGAGACCAAGAGGTAGAGGTAGACCCTGGTGGTTCATCGGGTTTGGCTTCTTTCAAAGCTTCCCTTTTATGGGCTTCCCTTAAATATATTTAATCTAAACATAAATTACAATAATTTCCGTTAAATATATAATTAAAAAAATAAAAAATACGCAATTGGATCACCAGTTTTCTTACAGATCGGTGTATTAAGGTTGTAGTCGACGGTGCATAACTATGCTCACCGACTCCAAGCCTTATGAATGCTGGTATTCCACAAGGCTGTGTGCTGTTACCTATCCTGTTCCTTCTGCATATCAATGATACGTTGCATATTAGTAACGACATACTAAAAAAGATTTACAATTATTTGTGTAGTATCGTCAGTTTTAAATTATGAGTTTTGGTGGGCAAACAATAACCTACCGAACAAAATGTGAGAGTATTCGATTATTTTTCCGCACAACCAAGTATATATATTATCAAAATCATTCTAAATTGAAAGACAATCCCATTTCCGACTTTTTGTACTTGTCAGAGTCTAACAGAGCCTATAGTAAATTACTGTTTTACTGAACACTAACAAATTATAACCTATAGATGGTAAATAAACGAGTATTTAATTGTTTTTATCACTTTATACTTAAGAACCCATAGCAGATCAAGAACCTCTCGATAAAATTTGCTACAGGCCCGCGCTTACTTAACCCGGCACTGCGTCTCAGCGATGAGTTCGATCACGAAAAGCTATTTGCTATGGACAGCTTGCTGATTTAGGATGGAGGCCTGTGTCGTAAATGAAAAATGGTCTGGGTGACCACTGTCATTTGCAAATGGTTGTACATAAAGCTAAAGTACCGGAGGTATTACAGCTGTACCATAATGGTTGTTCAGTAGGCCATCTGGGAGTTAAACGAACTCCACTGTAGATCCGAAAACGGTTTTACTGGATACACTGTCGTGACGATTGCAGATAAACTAGTTCATGAAGTCTTCTGTCGTTTTGGAGTACCTTTAGATATTCACAGCGATCAAGGAAGGAATTTTGAGTCTCAAGTATTCCAGGAAACTTGCTGAGTTATGGGTATTCATAAAACAAGAACTACTTCTTACCACCCGCAATCTGATGGAATGGTAGAATGATTTAATCGGACATTGGAAAGGTACCTAGCAAAATTTGTAGAAAATCGGCAACGAGATTGGAACAAGCACATATAACCGTTTTTGTTGTCAGTTGGTACATCGGTGACACCAGCTTTCACAAACTTCGGAAGAGAATTACGGCTGCCTGCAGACCTGATTACCGAAATGCCAACTGTTGCCCCACGCAGTGTAACCGATTATGTAAATGACTTGCGGAACAAAATGAATGACATTTATGAGCACGTCAGACAATCGAGGCAGCAAACGTCTGAAAAGATGATAACCCGGTATGGTCGCAAAATGAACAACAAATGGTTCGACGAAGGTTCGCTAGTGTGGTTGCGCAATTCAGTCCGCAGCAACTCCCAACTTATTGTAAGAACACGCACTCACGTTTCAATTTATTACAGCCTATCAAAGTCCACCGTAGCTGCATCATCTCTACTACTGTCGCCAATCACTCATGTTAGGCTTAGTTTGAACATTTAACAGGAAAGCTATGTTGATATCAGACCAAATAAATATGTTATCAGTGACAAGTGACTGTCCATTTCAGGCTCAGTCTATGTACACTATACCGCAAAAAATTCAGGGATTTTATTAAAAATAAAAAAGGGAATAAATCAAACTAAATGACTTGCTAAAAATAAAAATACAATCCCAATTTATGATAATTTCACAAGATGGCGCCCTTCCAGTCACAAAATGATGTCAAATGTCACGTCTGAAAAGTGACTTGTTTCATCAAATAATGTAGGTAGTGTGTGTGTTTTTTATTCCGATCTTGTTCGTGCAGTTTTGAACTCAATGCGTTGATTGTTTCCATTGAGATATTATGTACTACGTACTAGAGGAGACACTGCATTCAGCTACTCTGTTCCACTCAACTACGGTGCATGCACCGCACTTTAATCTCAGTCACTCGCTAGGCGCTTGTAGAGTTGTCACGTGTTGTGTTGATTTAAAAAAAATCTCTTGATAAAAATATGCCGTATTGTATACTTAGATATTGCACAAATAATTCAAGAAATGTCTGTAAAAACCAAGGAATTACTTTTCATCGTTAATAAGATACTTAATTAATAAAAAAAGTATAATAAATTAATAATAAAACAAATTATTCCTAAGACGCCATCTCGTATCATGGAATATAGATTATGAAATTAATATGTTCAGATGCGATATTTCTGTGGGTACTTAAGTTTAGGACGAATATATTATTACACACATTTTTTTTTTGTAGAAACATATATAAGTTATTATAATTAGGCTAAATTTTTCATGTTTAAATCTGCTTATTATTCTTTTATTTATTTTTAGGTTTACACATCAAAGTCAAAGTGGAATAAATTCGTCCATTTTTAACTCTAGCGTGCCCAGCATTTATGAACGATTATTTACAGCATTTATGATTCTAATTTAAATAAATATATTTGTAATTTAAATTTTATGTTAATAAGTTTTGTTAAACATACATTTACTATGTTTTTTTATATTTGACATAGATACCTTTTAAAATATTCAGATAAAAATATCATTAAAAGGAAAGTGCGATATAATATTATGTAACATTATATTAAATAAACAAATATAATATACAAAATAAATGACAAAATTTAAATATTTTCTCGATATAATTTAGCTATTTAACAATACAATCTACTATTACGGATCATTCTACCTATGTTTATTCTATGATAAAAAAACCAACCGCGCGAACACAGAGTAGCGCACATTTTTTGTTTGAGATAGCTGTTCTAGTACGTAAGTACCTACATATTACTTCAATGATTGTTTCTTTTGGATTTCTTTAGCGATTTGTTTTTTTTTTTTTTTTTAATTTGGATTTTGGATTTGGTTTTCTTTAGCGATTTGTTTTTTTTTTTAATTTGGATTTTGTATCTGTTATTTCTTGTTTAAATCGGCTTTTGTTTTATGGACTTAATGATTTACGTGAGATATTGATTTCATTGATATCTGACATTTGTAGAATCACATTTTGAATCACTAGACATCAGTAACCTCATGACACTTGACAGATAACAACGACATCAATTCGCCATTAGTATTGTAGTTTTTTGAAAGAATAAAATATTAATACCACTTAAATAAAGGCAAATTCATAGCTTTGAATGACCTAAAGTGGTGTAATATATTATTTTAATTTATTACCCTACTTGTACGAAACCAGGCCTACGCTTTATACAAGTTTGGACCGTCTCCTTTACTTATGTAATACAATTAAGCATGTTTTATATGTTACAGGTGCAAGGCCCCGGATTACAAAAGCAAATATATCGTAACACAGAGCCGCCGAGCGTGGTGGAACGTAACGCCCGTATCATCAAATGGCTGTGTCAGTGTCGCAAAACTCAAATGCAAGCTCCTCAGTAGTGACAATACTGATGAACTAAATATTTTCATAATTATTACATTTTATGATCAATAATCTTAAAAGAGAACTATAAAAACAGTAAATTTTAAGTTTTCATTTAATTATGGATTACCTAACACCAAATGGAATTACCGCAATAATAATTTATTGTTTAAAAAGCATTTTTAATTGTTTTTATTAAAAGAATGCATTTTATTTGATAAACCCATTGCTTTTATGCTTGAATCTCATCTCTTGTGACGACATAGTTAATTTTAGATTATAAGTGTGTGTGTGTTATAAAAAATGTAGGCTGTGTTCATAATTATTGAAGAACGTAGTAAATATGAGAGGCTCAAACTTTTTAAGGGAGAAATCGTTGCTAACTTAACAATTACAACATACATATATATATATATAATATATATATATATATATATATATATATAAAATTATGTCAATTCGCTAAACATGAAATCAATCGGTCATCTGAACTTAAGAAATGACGTGGGACAGTTTTTTACTGACTGAAATAATTTAGTTCGTGTAGACATATTCCAATTTAATTGCCTATAAATAATGTGATATGATACTATAGACATGTCAATCTTGAATGATCGTTCATTTGACCCGGGTCGCATCAAGGTATTGCCTGCAATTACATTTTTAAACATTCCGGACCAAACTATTACGACCACAGACCACGACCACAGAATATAGTAATGTACGACGGACATTATCGAACTGGTTTCACAGATCACAGAGTACTAAAACTCGAAATGATCCATTTGAATGATCGGGTACAGTATAAATGATACTAATCATAATAATGCATTAAATTGACTTCTAGTTACATACACGCATGTGTAGATACACTGATATTTGATAATTAAGATCTGGACATTGTATAGATGTAAATCAAATATACTGAAGGTATACAAAAGCAAAAAGGAAGGTAGGCTACAAGAGAAATTAAGGCGCGCCCAATTTCTAATATAAAAAACAAGTTCTAATACACACTTAATATATGCAGAAACAGGTGTATATTGAAAAAAAAGGTTGCGTTTTTTAAACTTTTTTGCACACATAAATAGGCTGTATGATCTTATTTGTTTGCAATTATGAATGCACAAAAAATAAATCCTTTGAACAACCACACATCGTACAAATTATGGTATTTAACCCTTTCAGTATAACGGTACTAAGCGTGTATGCTAATGAATGTGTATGTGGTATATTATGTACATGTGTATTTTTCGAATTTTCAGCATCCAAATGGTTTTATGTTTGTGTATGAATGTTTAAAATGAATTTAATGTCACGGGGTTTTTGTCTGTCTGTCTGTATAAACGGATTTAATTCTAAAATCATTGAATCTGTGGAAATACAATTTACATACATTGTACATTATAACATTGGGACCAACATAGTTTTTTGTTTCAGTGAAACACCTATAACGGTTCCGTAGAGTTGATTTTGATGTTTTTCATTCACAAGGGCAAAGTCGCGGACACAGCTAGTGAAGCTGTGAATATGTATTTGTGATCAAAATGATAATAATATAAAAGTTCAATCATATTTTTATCTCCATACCTACGTACAATTTGCGAGCTTACCCTTAAATGAAGTGAAATTGTTATAAATTCCAAATTATTCCATTTTATCGATAGTTTGATTATCATTCTGGTTTCTACTTTAAAAGTATATTTATTAGCTCAATTAAGTTGTTAAAATTTACGATCGAACTGTTATTTATTAGTCGATTTGATTTACGAAGATATAAACCAAAAAATATTAGAATTTATGTTACATAAGTTATAATTACACTAAGCCTGTATCAGTTATTGGACGTAAATTAAATGTTGCATTTATATATTTTAAAGTTTAAATGTACGTATACATTGTATGTTTGATGCATTATATGGTTCAGTTGCAGTATTGAGTACTTTAAATTATTAATATTATTAGAATAATTACTGTTTTAAATCGAGTCTAGTTATATTCGATTGGTTTGTGTAATCTATTGGAAGGTCGTATGCGGTAGAACTTCCTAAAAACTAAAGAAAAAACGATGTTAATCATATATTGGGCGAATTTTAAAAGTTTCTCCATTTACATCTCTAGAAATATTTTTGTCGTATGAATTCTTAATATAGTAATTTTCGTCTCTATGGTATTTATGTATTTGTATAAAATGTTCCTGTTACGGATTTGTCATCATTCTTAGCTTTTAATGTTTTTAAGTCTGTATTCTCTCTTTCTCTGTCGATTTTAGATTAAGTTACGAAAATGTTATTGCTATAAATCTTATAAATATATTCGACCTTAAGTGGAAGAGGTTGACGCTTCTGCGCACCGCAAAAAAATTAAAAGACCAATTCTAGGAAACTAAATACAGGCTTCATTTACACCATCATTACCTTTATAATAAATTTTGAAAGTAAAATTATTATTAAAAATATTTAACATACTTAACAATAATAAAATAAGATTGATTATAAAGGAAATCATTTATGTCAAATTATAGCTGCAAACGTCACTAAAATATTAAATATTACATTTATCATCCGCTTTTGTGGAATTTAATTTTATATGACGAACAATCTAAAGGAAATTAAAGTTTTTGAAGAATTTTTTTAAACTTATTTCTCTTTTACACTGCAAATGGTATAAATTGAACTCTGTTAACACAAATATATAATAATTATGGACAATATAACTGAAGTGAAAGGAATTTTAATATTAATGCATAATAATTATAATATTTAACATAGCTAAAAATAACATAGCGCAGCAACTTATTATAATTGTAAATACTTAACGACCGGATTTTCTCCATAAACGAGTAAAACAGTGGATTGGGCTAGAACTACAAGAAGCTAACACATATATCGCATGTTATGCTGATTTAGAGGCTCATACAAAATATACGGGGACTTGAGACTTAGTGCTACATTACCCACTCAACGCGACGATATAAGTCGTTCTCATATGTATAAAATATTAAAAGAGCATGTGCGGGCTAAATGTAATTCAAGGCATTACAGAGTTAATGTATTTTTGAACATTATAGCAACCTAACTTAACTGGACAATAGAAGACTTATTAATTAAATATTTTAATTTGTTTCGTACTTGAGGTAACTCAGATAATCATGGTTGCTTACTTTTCCCGAGTTTTCTTTCCTTTATGTTTTCTTTGCTCGATGAATTATACATTTATGTAATTTTCTTGTTGACTTTTTGAAACCCTTTAAAACAGTCAAGTTTTAAGACATGGTTTTTCTTTACAAGTACATGTTCATTTTTACAATTTTTTTTAAGTTAATCTTAACTAATATTCTATGGTGAGGCAAAATGTCGTGCCTATTTGCAAGTTCCCGCCAATTTCCTTATCTGTATTCTTGTGTTTGCAGAAAATAGGTAGCAACAGATGCTCTGTACCCACGATCGTGTGTTCTGAGATATCATAGCGTATTCTGTGATATAATTAAATCAAATAATGTGCCCCTGCGTGTTTGTGAACTTGACATTTAATATGTTACTAACTTTAACAGATTGTTAAACTTTAGTGGTCTAAATAGTTTTAATGTTAAATTTGATAGAAAACGAAAAAACTTGTTGTGCAAATTGAGTATACCGCCCAATTTATTTATTAAATGTTTTTTAAACTGTCCAATCGCGCAAAGCTCAAATTGTTGTTTTTCTAGAGGGGTCTGTAAACTGCGTGAGATATTCAATAAACATGTTAAAACGATAACTCTTGCAAACAATTAGTATACTTTTTGTCTATTTTTAATAAAATGTAATTTTAAATATTGAGCCATTTGAACAAAATACCCAATTTGCACTATAGGCTTTAAATGTTCAAAGTCTGGTCACTAATAAAGCGTAAGGATTAAATTACTTCACTTCTGTTCCCTTACAATTATGTAATGTAGCGTTACAGTATTAGATTGTTTAGCATTCGATGCTTCCATTATTTGTGTACATAAAATTTACGTACATTGTTAGAGATTTATCGAAATGAATGAAATATAATATTATGATCTGATGTAATTTTTTTAATGTTACTATAATCCACCTTACACGCTTTTTGCGGGATCATAGTTACCTTACTTACCAGACTGAAAATAAAAGTTATGTTTAAGGAAAACAATAGGTCCAATCTGCATACTACTTAGTACGTAGGTTTTATACGTGTTAACACTGCAGCTATGATAGTAGTAGCACGAATGGGTCAGCTCGACCGTGGCAGGACCACGCTCTCTATAGTTCTTTATAGTAAACACTTCAGCTATAATAGTAGCACGAATGGGTCGGCTAGACCGTGGCAGGACCACGCTCTCTATAGTTCTTTATAGTTAACACTGCAGCTATGATAGTAGTAGCACGAATGGGTCGCCGTGGCAGGCCCACGCTCTCTATAGTTCTTTATAGTTAACACTTCAGCTATGATAGTAGTAGCACGAATGGGTCGCCGTAGCAGGACCACGCTCTCTATAGTTCTTTATAGTTAACACTGCAGCTATAATAGTAGCACGAATGGGTCGGCTAGACCGTAGCAGGACCACGCTCTCTATAGTTCTTTATAGTTAACACTGCAGCTATGATAGTAGTAGCACGAATGGGTCGCCGTAGCAGGCCCACGCTCTCTATAGTTCTTTATAGTTAACACTGCAGCTATAAAGTAGTAGCACGAATGGGTCGGCTAGACCGTGGCAGGACCACGCTCTCTATAGTTCTTTATAGTTAACACTGCAGCTATGATAGTAGTAGCACGAATGGGTCGGCTCGACCGTGGCAGGACCACGCTCTCTATAGTTCTTTATAGTTAACACTTCAGCTATAATAGTAGTAGCACGAATGGGTCGGCTCGACCGTGACAGGACCACGCTCTCTATAGTTCTTTATAGTTAACACTTCAGCTATAAATTAGTAGCACGAATGGGTCGGCTAGACCGTAGCAAGACCACGCTCTCTATAGTTCTTTATAGTTAACACTGCAGCTATAATAGTAG